AACTAAAACACTGGAAAGTGTCCTTAAGATCTCTCAGAATCACCAGAAATGTCTTCCTTCTCTTCCTCACTCTCTCGCAAGCCAGTTAAGTAGTAACCTTTGAGGATGTTATGGCTGAATGTACGTGCCACCCCCAAACGACCCCCAATGTGACATACGTGGAATAATGAAGTAAAGGAGCACTGTGGTCTAGATGTCCACCAGGAGCCTCAGATGCTCACAGATGGGGCTTGTGGCAGGCGACTGGATCATGATGTGTTATAGCTGACTTGCTGGTTGAGGGGTGGGTCTGCTTGAGGTGACAGTCACTGGGGGTGTGACCTGGGAGGGGGGTTTCCTTCCCTTCCCAGCTCTTCCCGGCTATCATGAGGTGAGCACCTTTGCTCCACCTGCCCCTCCACCACGCTGTTTCTCCTTCAGAGCCAGCTGAGTGTGGACTGAAATGTGAGCCAAAATCAGCCTCTCCTCCTTTAGCCTGAGAGTGTCAGGTATTTTGTGCCAGCGACAAGGAAAGTGACAAAGACAAGGAGTTCATAAAAGCGGAGCTTTGATCTCATAGGGTTAACGTCCTTAGAAGATGCTGTGGGGCTCTTCTCTATGTGTCTGTCCCTTCCTCTCCCCTCTGTCGCCCCATGTGAGGACACAGCCAAAGGCAGCTGCCTGCCAGGCAAGAAGAGAGCTCACACCACAAAGCAACACTGCCAGACCCTGACCTGGGATTTCCAGATGTGTGAGAAAATGAGTATCTGTCCTTTAAGACACCCAGTCAGTGATACTGTTATAGAGGCTGGGTGGACCAACACCCAGTATAAATATAAACCTGTCTCTCTTATACTTTTCCTTTATGTTTGAAAGCAAGATACTGTATCAAAATTTTTAAAGTTATTTTCATACAAGCATATGAATTCAAGTAATATTAAATATTTAAGTTTTCTGTTAACGAGAACTAAATAAAGTAAACAAATCATATAACTTCCGAAACATTTCTGAATATGAGAAACGGCCATACCCGCTTCTTTCCCGCTAGTGATGCAAATACACATTACTCAATTTTACCGGCAAGTTGGACAGGAATAGGCTTCTGTTCTCAACACATGAACTATTCACAGGATGCCTTAACCTTAACGAAACATTTCAGTGCTGTGGTATAAAAAGCACTGAGAAGTGATCAGATATTATTTTTGTATGTTGGTTTTGGTATTACTGGGCAGGGGGGATTGTTTGTAATGACATGCAAGGTACATTCTGTGCCCACCCTGAGTTTATACTGGATTTTTGCATTTACATCTATTCACTCTTCCGCTATACTTTAAACTGATGAGACAGAATGTTCTGCTTACAGAACCCATGACAGAATCCCTACTCAAGTCAGTTTAAATTTTAAATAAATAAATATCCTTAAGGAAGAATTTATATGTTAATAATTTTCCGGGCAAAGGATAAGGTACTGATACGATAGATGGGCTTTAAAAAGCAAACACAGCTGTCCATTTCTCAGTTCTGCTTTCCTGTCTTGGCTTGTTTCTGGGGGAGGCTCTTTTTAAATGATGACACAATAGTTCTCCAACCAGGCATGGTGGTACCACCCTGTAGTCCTAGCACTCTGGGAGGCTGAGGCAGGAGGATCAAAAATTCAAACCCAGCCTGGACAACTTAGTCCAGCCTAGCCTGGTCTCTTATGGAGACCCTGTCTCAAAATTTTTAAAAAAACACACAAAATATTTTAAAAGGGTTGGGAATATAGTCAGCGGGAAGGCCTTGGGCAAAAGAAAAAAAGAAATTTCTTTACAGTGAGAGTTTTGTACTGTCCTCAGAGACAGCACCTCAAAATATGAGCATTCTCCTTTCCCCGTGAATACCGAAGAGGCCCAGGAGCAACGTGACTGGCCTTGCCCAGGGCACGTGTCTACCCCTACCCCTCCCCGAACGCGGGAGAACAGAGTACCCTAGTGGGTCGGACTGGGACTGAGCCCGTTCTGGGGGCAGAGGGTGAAGTCAGCCCCGCCTGAACACGCACCCAAAAGTCGCTGTGGGAAACTGGGCTGGGGGCAGGAGAGAGAAAGGCTGAGGAAGGGACTCCCATTCAGTCCACATCTCCACTTCTTTTCGGTTCACGTTACCAACCTCGCCACACCAAAGTTCCAAACATTCAAGTCCACACTCCAGTCCTCCTCTGAGTTAAAGTTTAGAGAACGTCTTCATTTCTTGGTTGGTTCATTCTCGAGATTGAGTGGTCTCCAGTAGAGGGAGGGAAGATGGATATGCCTCACCAGGATGCCGGGAAGTGCATGCCGTTACCCACATGGTCTGTACCCCTCAACTCGCTTCGGATATTAATTTGCCCACTACGGAGCTATCCTACCTGGGGTGGGGAACCTCCTACATCAACTGCCTCCTTTCTTACTAAATATGCCAGAGCCAGTACTGCTTTCAGGTAAAGCCATGAATTTGCAATAACAGCAACCCAAACACTGGCTCTCCTCTGAGAGTTCTTTCTTTTTCCATCCGGTGGACCCTAGTGGATTTCCTTCACCCCTTTGAGCTCGAGGTCCCTAGCATGCAGGTGCTGCACCGCTGGGGAGTTCTGTTGAGTTTCCACCCAGCAGTATCCCGGGGACAGTCACTTTCAGTCTTACGTTGATGTGGCTACTGCCACTGTCCTCAGTGCAGACCTGCTATGTCTAAGACGCTGTCCTCTAAGTGAGGGGCCACCCTTTCTCAGTTGCATTTCAGCTGGAAGACCTCTTTTTTCCAATTCCCAAACTGCAGCTGTGTTGATGGCTCTTAAGGCTGTGCTCCTGCAGGAAACCAGCGTTTCTGCCACGTGTCCTTGTGACACCATCCCTCCTGGGTCCCCTCTGCTGGTGAATTCTGGAAAGCTCTCAGACCTGTCCCTTCAAGCCCCTAGCAACACCTACCTGCTTACCTTCTGTGTCACTCTGGAACCCAGAAACCAACAGTTTCACCTTGGAGGTTCTGAATCCAAGAATCTGTACTCACTTCCTCCTTCCTCAATGGTGCCCACATTTGCAGGCATCCACACCTCCTCCACGGAGCCCTTCCTTTCAGGACACTTCATCCTGCCTAACTTGGGGAGTGGTCCAGTTTGGTTGAAGCCAACCTGCACAGTCTGTTCCCCCAGCAAGAGAAAATCACCAGTGGGTATGCACCCTAAACTGGTCCAGTTAGGATCAATTTCAGGGCTCGGCCGGTCAATCACGCCCCCTGCTGGTCAAGAGAACAGGATCCTGTGCTGGCCAGCAGCCATCACAGAGCCAGCAGAGGAGTCCATGACAGGGCCTGCATGGAAAGCAACTGTTGTCTTTATCAAGGTATTAAAGAGTAATTGACCAAAGTAACTGAGGGACTTCCCTTTTAGAATGAGTTCTGAGTCTACGGCATGGTCCTTTCCACACATATTACTCAGTGGCAGCAAAGTCCTGTCCCGGAAGGGTGGCTTTTATTTTCCTGCAAACCCAGAAGTTGCTCAGAACCGAGACTAAATAGGCAGGAGATTCGTCTGAGTAATACTATTTTTGAGCTTTTAAAACCAAGGAGAACTTTTTACTTGTGATTGGTTTCCTTGTTGCCAAAGCACTGGGCCTCGAGTATCTTTTTTTTTGAGCAAATATAACCACTTACTTTTATTGTGAGAAGAAAATGTTTTCATGTCTTAATTACATCTTAGGGAGCTCTGGCTTTTCTCTGGCATTCTTAAATGTTTAGACTAAAAGAATCTCAGAGTAGCTAGCTCTGGGGAAAAAAAGAGAGAAAACACTTTAGCACCTGAACATTCCTTCTTAAGGTCTAAAATCCCAAGTTTACTTTGTCGAATTGCCAAGGCGACCAGAACCCCTGCACACTGACACCTGCCTATGACATCACCGCGTGAGCGACACTCAGTGAAGAGGATGGTCCCAAGCTGAAAGTGTATTTTACTCGGTTGGGTGCATCCAGCCAGCCAAACAGAAGACAGGGCCAGATGGCTCCTTATCTGCGTGGCCTCCCACAGATCTTACGCACATTTGGAGTTCCTCTTTCATAGGGTTAACTGCCATTGTTCCTTTCAACTCTCAAAACTGCCTTATTATCTGTTCCAACGAAGGAGACAGATATAATAAATCTTGGCAAGAATCACTTAATCCATTTCAGTTCTCCAAGAAGTACTATTTCCATAGCAATCTCAAGATGACAGATTTGGCCTTACTTTTTAAAATATCTCCAGTGAAAGAGTTTTCATCAGTAACTTACTTCAGAATCAAAGATTCTTAAACTCTGGGGTCTTTTGTTGTTCTTGTTCTTGTTAAAACAAATAAGATACAATTATTTTAAGACCATGGTAAGTCAGACATAGTACATATCTCATAGATATCTTTTTCAAATAAGGGCGACTCCTTGAGAAACTGACTTTTATAAATTAACTGATGGGATGTAAGAAAGTCAGATTCTTTAATAGCCTGTCAAGTTTTCCTCAAATATACTTACAGTGCTTTCAGAGGAACAAATAATGAAGAGGAGATTTTTTCCTTGGGAGCTGGCTTTCCTAATCTAAACTAGAAAATGATGAATCAGTCTTTCATAACATCTTCCTTTGGAGAAGCCCCATGAGCAGCCATTTCATGTATCTTCATGGGCCAGCTGTGAGGTTGAGGAAAATACCTGCTTCATTTTTGACTTTAGAAGTGAATCCGTAAGTGCCTAATGGAAAGCCGGATTTTCTCCTTATGAGCAAACCATGAACATCATACTAAGAAGTATTGATGTCTTTCATGATGATTCAGTTAAGCTCTCCAAAATAAAATAAAATAAAATGAGTATGAGCCCAAACTAAAGAGAAAAGTTAGTAAATAAAAGTCTCTCCTTTTATATCAATTTCTTTGGATTTAAAAAATTGTATGGAAGGAAACAAGGAATAGGATACAAATTCAATTGCAAATAATGCTTCATATATAACATGGGAAGCAGAAAGTTTATCTACCAAATAAATATGCAACACGTCATTACAACTGCAGGCAATTTTATTTATCCAAAAAATCTACTTCCTCTTGCAAAAGAGAAATACACTCAGGGCAGATACACAGAGCTTAAGAGTGGTATCATGATTCCCTGCAGCAAAGAGAAAAGCACAGCAGTGAAGATGAGCTGGGAAATGAGGGAAGGCTGAGGCAGAACAATTCCAAGAGCCAAAGGAGATCTGAGCGAAGCCATCAGTAGAGGTAAAATGGGGAAGGAAAACAGCCAGTGGTGGAATGAATTGTGCAAGCAAAAAATCCATCTCCAGAAGGGCTGGATGGCAGGAGCTGGCCAAAGTCCAAGTCCAAGCTTCGGAAAAGAAGACTGGAAGCCTCACACATACAACGATGCGGCCACACGAACATCTCGAAGCTGCCTTGTTCACTCACCGCCTCTGCCTGTGCTATGAGCCCACTAAGTGGAAGGTCAGTAACAGTCGAGGTGCTTTTCGTCTCTTGATTCAGGCTTCATAGACGATCTAAAGAGGCTGTGGGTCACTTGCAATTAGAGAGAAAAGAGCTTGTTGAAGCAGGGCTGGCAGTAGGTCTTGTCATTCTGCTCTTGGAAGATGCCCTTGTTCAACTGCGTCAGGCAGAAAGCGCACACGAAGTGCTCGGGGTGGAACTTGTGCCCCATGGCGCTGATGCAACGGCCGGTGATGGGCTGCCCACACCCATGGCACAGGGTTCCCCGTCGGTGGTGGTAGTGCAGCTCGCAGAATGGGCGGCCATCCAGCTCGAAGAAGGAGCCAGTGGAGAAACTGCTGAAGCAGTCCTGGGAGTAGAGAGAAGACACAGGAAAGGAATGCGTGGGTCAAGGAGCAAAATAGCAGCAAGTAAACCTGTCAGCCCTGGAACTCCCACCAGGAACCTGCCAGTTGTAGGAATTTCCCTCAAGTCCTGGACAAACGGAGGCCAACATGTCCACTTGCAAACTAGAGGAGCACATGCCCATAGTGGGCGTTGTGTCTTGCTTCATGAATTCCTCCCCCAAGGACGTGAGCCCCTGACTAAATCCAAAAAGAATACAGACCCCGCACACAAAGCACTCCGGGTGCCACACCGTGTCCAAGGCCGAAAGGTAGTTCTCCAACACTGGGCGGCTGCAGCCACTGCACTTGGGTGAGAACATGGCTAAGAAGTCCTTCCGGCAATAGGGCTTCTTATCCTTCTCGTGGAAGCCTGGGGGGAGAAAATCAAGGAATCGGGGCTGCAGTGTGAGTCCTTCAGTCCTCACTGATGGTCAGTGACCTAACCCTCAGTGTCTTCCTAGTCACAATGGGGTCAGCTGTGGAGACCTACATCAAAGGGTTGTTGGGGAAAAGACAATGGGAAAATGTGGGTACAGGCCTCAGTATTTTGCCTGGATCACAGTGAGCCCTGGTAAGCGTTAAGGGCAACTCCTCCTCCATGCCTCGGTACTAACTATCCCTTTGGCCTTGATACACAGCCTTTCCTTCTGCCCCACTTCATCAGAGAGGTGTCTATCTCTTCAGTCCCTCTTTGTCTCTTCCTGTTTCCCATTGCCTTTTAGCATTTTCCATTATCTGAAATCATCTTTACGGTCTCTCTTCCCCCAGTGAATATGAGCCCTGAGAGAAAGTAGATATCATTGGTCTTCTGACCATTACACAACCCCAGTATCTACAGCAGCATCTGGGGTAAAATTGCCTAACATTTTAAAATAAAATACTACTAAATAATAATTTCCAAATGAATGCAAGAGCTAAATGTAATAATTTAAACCAACTACATACTTGAATTGAAAATGGAGTGGATTATTGTTAGTATGGAAAGAAGAAAGTGTCATAAATGTGTCAAATTTCAAAAGTAAGTTAAGGATTAATACATTTAGTTATCTGAAAATATATGTGAATGATTTAACATATTGAAAAAATGCCATAAACAAAGTCAAAGACAAAGGACCACCTGAGGAAAATACTTAATAATATCCTGAAAAAGAAGCTAACACAAAGAGGTCCTAAATATATGCATGATTTCTATAGTGTAGTATAAATCTAAAAAGCGAAAAAATTAAAATGGAATATAGCTCCCTAAAAATTGAATCCAGTTAAAACAAATTAACTGTATATTAAATGGATGACATGACCACAGAGAGAAAATGATTCATTCCAGTGACTTTAGAACATAGCATTTTGACCACACAGTCCATGGATGTATTCCAAAGGCAAAAGAAGGTACAAAGAAACATTAAATTGTTTTCCTATATACTGGAAACTTGCTAAGAGAGTAAAATTTTTATGCTTTTACCACACTAGAGGATAGATATGTCAATGTGCTTTACTAGAGTAACTATTTCACTACACATCGAAACAGGTTTTCGTAGCCAGGCCTGCTGGCATATGTCTGTAATCCCAGCTACTCAGGAGGCTGAGGCAGAAGGACCCCAAATTTAAGATCAGCCTGGACAATTTAGAAAGATCCTGTCTCAATATAGAAAGAAAGAAGAAAGAAAGGAGGGAGGCAGGGAGAAAGAGAGGAGAAGAAGGAAAGAATGAAGGAAGAGAAAGTGAGAGAGAGAAGAGGGAGGGAGGAGAGAAGCTAGGGAGGTAGCTCCATGGTGGAGCCCTTATGTAGCATGTATGAAGTTCTGGGTTCAAGCCTCGGTAATGAAAAAAAAAGCTGAATGTGTAGCTCAGTGCAAAGGCCCTCGGTTCAAGCCTCAGTACAAATGCGCGCGCACACACACACACACACACAAAACTAAAAACAAAACATCATATGGGTCACCTTCAATATACACAATAAAAATAATTTTGTTACTTGCAATGTTTATATTGTTTTTGTAATTATTATAGATAGATTGCACAATAAAGCAAATAACTACATTAGTGCCTTTGGAAAGGAAGATTTCCAGTGCAAAAACACAAGTACAAAATCAAACAAGTAAGTAAAAGTTGTAACCTTTCACTAAGATAATAACCACTATGAATTCACAATTCATTTTTTCTCTCCTTAAAAAAAAAAATGCATTTTAAGCCCTGTCCACTTAAGAAAAAAAAAAAAAACTAGAAGAAATGGCATCCCAGAAATAGTGGACACTTCTGGTACTCAGAATGTGGATTCTAAATGTGCACACTGCAACACTATCCTTGGAGAAAGGATGGTACCAGGTACGGGCGAGGTGGACAAGATGAGCTTAACACATCCTGCTTGTGTCGAGTTGATGCAGAAGACATCGTACATTACTGGGTCGTGTTGAAAGGAACCAACTTGAAGGGTTACCTCTGGCCTCAGATAAAACCACCTGACCATTATTAGAAAATCTACTGTAACTGCTCAAATCAAAGAAGTATATGTAACTCCATAAAGTCACAGTGATTTTCTTTTTAAAACTTAAAACTCAGTCTCCATGTGGGTGTTGTTAACAAACCCACTCGATATTGTTACAAATGCTCATAAAGGGAAAGGATCAAACATATACATCCCACCTGTCCTGCTTGAAATATATTACAATATGATGAAATAGCTGATTACAGGAGGTTTATATGGAAGTAATAAATATAGAAAGATAACAAATACTAATAAATATAGAACTAATAAATATAGAAAGAATGACAAAAATTTCAGCGTTTTGCTACTTGGACCATTGGAACTAGGTGATAATCATGTATGGAAAAGTTTTAAATGGAGTGATAGGGTTTGATTCTCAATAAAGCAAACAAACGAATGAATTGAAATGGTAAAATATATAAGTGGAGGGATCCAGCTGACGCTCCTTGAAGCCAGGTGTCATCAGTAAACAGCTCATCTCCTGCATATCTCTTGATGTGATTCAATAAGCAAAGGACACTGCCACCTCTACCATATTCTTACCCTGCCAAACTTCCCAAAACTCAACTTAAACTCAGTCAAGCCTTTAGGTCTACATTAATAGTTTACAGAAAATAAAGGGAAAGAGGAGAGAGAGCCAGTCAAATCAAGAATATGGGGCATTAGTGGAATGTGTTACGATTTTATTACAAATCAAGAGTATAAAAGAGTGGGGGAACAGGGCTGTCACAGGATTTTTAAAATTTGAGAGACAAAAAGAGCCAAATAGAAAATAGCCCTTGCTTGGATCCTGATTCAAACAAATCATGTGACTGATTTTTTTTTTAATTTTGTGAAATGTGAATATAGATCTTAAAGAATAATAGAAATTGTTAATTTTGTTAAGTCCAATGGCAGTGTATTTTTAAGTCCTTATTGATTAAAGATGATGTATCTGAAGTATTAATGATGAGATGACATGGTTTCTAGGATTTATTTTTAAATATCCTAGCAAGAAAAAAGTGTAAGTGGTTGGGGATTAATAGAGGAAATTAGTTTTGCAAAACATTGAAACTTACTGAAGTTAGGTAAGGAAGCATATTTGTGCTTAAACTGTTCCATAAAAAACTTGTGTTGAGGCACAAGCCCTTTCTCTGTAATATAAGAAAACTGTCCCATTGGACACACACTAGAAAAGTTTGGGCTTAGGTTGTGCTGACCCTGCGCCCACATGATGGAACTACATTGAATGTGAGAAACCTTTCAAAATAAGTACATCGCGCAAATAGACAAACACGCAAGAAGAAACACTTTTCACTGTAATGTGCTGGTCATCACAATGAGCCATGAAACTTGGGGGTGGGGGGAATGAAGTTCTCGCTTTTGCTGATAGTTTAATTGCTAATCTTAGGTAAAAACTGTTAAATATACTCAATGCTGGAAAATACATGGAATGAGTCACATGATCATATATTACTGATAATCAAGTGGATTTTCGTTCACTCTTTAGAAGGTCATTTGATACTGTGCATCAAGAATTAAATATATATCTCAGGCCTGAGAACTAATTCATACAAATAACTCAAAAGAGCAAGATACTTTTAAAGATATTCATTACAACAGCACTAGAACACCAGAAATAATCTAACTTGCTCTCGTGAACACATTTAGTTGTCTCCAATACCTGGAACCATAAATAAAGCTTCACTGAATGTCTTCCGGCACATACCATTTTATATTTTGTAACTTGTTTACATAAAGCCCTAATGGAAAGACTGCTATTTTTAAAATTATTATAAAAAGAAAAATTATCAAAAATTATTTTAAAAGAAGTTGAGGTATACTATAACTTAAGCATGTACTTGAATATGAGTGAATGTAGAAAAATATTCATAAGAAAAATTGTTATACTGCTCCAACGGGATAAGTTATAATGAAATTTTCCATAACCCCTTTATGTTATCTTTACATTAAGAAAAGAAAAATAGAATAACACATCTTCAAGCACTTACTGAAGTATAAATTCCTCTGCCTTCAAGCTCACATCTCCCGGATGCCTCCTCCTTCCTACTTAGGCGAACACCTGGTGCCGCTGGTCCCCCCCATAATGGCTGGCCATTCTCTCCCCTTCACTTCCACCGTGGATAGCAGGTAAGCGGCTCGTTACCTCCTCCTCACTGGAACACACTGACCACCACAGCAGGAACTTTCTTGCTGTTCTATATCCCTCATACCTACAATAGCTTCATTGCAAATGTTTATCAGATGGGCAGCCGTGAACAGAGTTAGGCCATCAGCTGCAGCAGTGTGCTGTAGTTCTGGCCTCCCTTTGGCACTGAGGAAACCAAGTCTAAACAGGCAAATGTCTCACTCAGGGACACTCCTTAGTGCGCACTGGGAGAGGCAGCCTACAGTGAGCACAAAACTATCAGTAACGCTACCTCTACAGCTCCAGCTTGGTGGTGTTTCCACTCAGGGCTTACCCACAGTACTAAATTAAAATGAATTTCTTCACAGCAACCCTTTGCAGTAGGTTTTTGCCCTATTTTACAAAAGGAAAAACGGGAAGCTCAGAAGAGTTACTCGTAAGGAGCTAATCACAGAGGAGGGGACATTCAAATCTAGGCCTGAATTCGGGCCACACCCACAACATAAATTCATTCTGAACTTCATCTCTTGAGTGAACCTGCTGAGCGCAAGGTAAACTAGCCCACTCACTGTGTAAATGGGAGGGCTTGGCATGCCTGTCAGCCAGCCAGCCCACAAGAAAACAGTTTTTCTAGAAATCTACCTTGACAGCAGTGGTCAGGTCACAAAATTACAATAGGAGCAACCAGAGGTAGGGACCCGAATTATGTAGCTGCTGTTCTTTTGCCCTGTCTCCTGTCACTTTCTGACATGCCTTGCTTTGTTCTACTCTGCTTTCTTTGAAAAGCAGACCATCTGGCAAATTCTGAGGCCTGTATATCCAAGAATCTTAACTAGTAATCTTACATGCTGTCCAGTTCGTCCGCTAAACACTGAGATACAGAAGAGCCGCCTTTACTTTTTTTTCACTTTTTCAAAGGAATTCTAGACTCTGCGCAAGGAGAACCAAATACAGGGAGTTCTGCTGTCTAAGGAAAACAAACATAGCTGTTTCTTGCTTTAGTGTGATACATTAGCCTTCAACTTTTGGGGACTTGTCAAAATGCAAACTGCTAGGTCCTCCTCTGCTCACCGCATCGGGGCAGGGCCTGAGACTCTGCACTGTGCAAGTCCCCAGGCAAGAAACTGAGCATGCCTATCAGTAGGTATTACTTGGAAAGCCTGAGGCGTGCTGACTAACCCAGGAATGACCCTCATCTAGGCATCTACAGGGCCAGCGAGTTGGGAAGCCACAGCCCGTTTCAAGTTGGGCGTGCCTCGGGAGGTGAATCAGTGCAATCAGCCAAACTTGCTGTGATACACTTAGTAATCCAATAAATTGGGAAAGTTTCAGGGCTTACTTTCCTGGAGGCTCTCTCTGGGGCCAATTATCTCTGGAGGATGAATGAGAAACACTGACAATTGAAAGTATCAGGGAGACAGGGAGGGTGTTTGTACTCTGGTGAGGCCCGAGCCGCAGGGGAAATCAGGGAGCACCCACACAGCCTGGGTAATGAACAAGTAGAAAGAGAGACAGGTAGGCACTGAGGACCCTGTCCCTGGGGGAGGATGCTAAGGCCCAATGCGCTTAGAAACTTGAGCCTTAGAGAGGAATTTCTCCCAACTGAAGAAAAAAATGCAGATGAGCTTAATTTCCCAGGAGGCTCCGTGGTTAAACTGTCATTACTGAAGCTCTGTGTGTGACTATGTGACTTGGGGCAAAAGGCAGGATGCCACCTAATTAGTGGGCTGGTCACATGGTAGGAGAGGCACTGTAAGACAGCTGGGGTTAAAAACGGAAATGCCACCTAAGCAGAGCTTCTGGTTAGCAAATGGCCCCTTTTGCCAGGCATCTCCCCTATAAATGATTTCAGTATAGGTTCATGCTTACATGGAGTCATAAATGAGCCACTAGCCTTATCTGATTAAAAAAGCTCAAGACCAGAACAATGAAACTGGCTACCTTTATTGTGTCATTTTGTGGGCTGGGTATTTTTCCTTCACATCTAGTTCATCTCTACTCAAAATGTGTCTGTTGTTCTGCTTCTCAGCATCTTCCACCCATAACCACCCCGGCCAACACTGACTTGCCTGCTATTCCACCCAACTCAAACTTCCATGTCTATCTTTAAATTTACTGTGACACGTTTTAGTGTGATTCAGATTCTCTCAATGAAAGACACAGCTTAAATATAGTCCAATCTAGAAGTGAAATGCCTAACAACTGCGAAGTGCACTGCACAGGCTCCGGTAACAAGCAAACCACTAAAATGCACTTCACCCATGGATTATGTCAGTGCTGCCACATCTGGGTCTACTTAATGGGTCAAATACAGCACATCATGTCGGTACCAAGAAAGTAAAGAGACCCAATAGCAGAAGAGGAATTGACTCTCAGGCAAGGGGTCGTTAGGATGCTACAGAACAAAACATGAAATTTGCAGAAATGAGAACAGAACTTAAATCCGACCTCTTTAGCCTTCTAGTTGTATAACTTTAAGAAAATAACTTGGGTCCCTGAGGTTCAGTGTTTTCATCCAAAACTAGGTGAAATAAGGGGGAAAACTGTTCTCACTGGAAGGTGGCAGGGATTAGATGAATACTAGTGACTGATATACATAATAAATGCCTGACCCTCACAGAGTCTCCACCTGGTGGACAGCCTGAACACATGGGATTATCTTTATTCCCTCCTGAACCATCACTAACAGGACAGTTACTGATTATTGAAATTGTAAAGGGCCATAAGGAGAGACAAGCAAGGGGATACCACCACGGAGATATCAATAAAGTCGTCAAAATAATAACTAGGCTAGAAGAGTGGGAACTAATGTGATATAAATTTAAAAACTGGAAGCTGTATCGTCACAGATGGGAAATGTCAATAAAAATCAGCCATCCTGAGATCCACAACATCAGAGGGGCTCAGGGACCCCTCAAGCCTAGAAACAGCATTGGTTTAAAGTGCGAGGAGCCACTGGAGGCCCGACATCTCGTGCTACCATAAAATGCAGTGATTATTTCGGGAAATACTGAGCCAAAGACTCTGCTCAGAGATGTTAGGTATCACGAAGAAAGACGTCAAGCTCTCCAACTAGAAAATGAGAATGATGAAATGCTGATATGCTGAATGGTGAGAACTTGATTCCCTTCACCTTTTTTAGCTTCAGAATATTGGCAAGGGCATCTCTTTGTAAACTGATTCGGGATGAAAGACTCAGGACTGTAACATTCGGGGGTCCTCCAACAAAAGGGCCAGGAGGGCCCTGCCTGAGCACCACATAGAGGGGGTCTGCCAATCAACAAGCTCATCTGTACCCACAGCGGCTTCTGATCAGGATTTCATGTGTCATCGTTAATCAGGAACAAACAACCAGGGGCCACCAGCATCTGACAACGACCAGTGTAAAAATGTGTAAGGTGCCGAGGTGTAATAAATATCAGATTCCATGCTGGGCCTCAAGGCACCCTCAAAACAGAAAGCCAAAGAGTCTGTAGAGTTCATTCAACGCCTCACTCACACTGAGGATATAAAACAAGTACAGAGAAAGGACAATCAAGACAGTAGTTTCTTTAAAAAAAATCTATGCGTGTCGCACTAGCACCAGGAGGGAAGGAAGAGATATCGCCCCTGATCATCTTACATCAGGAGAGTGACTTCCAGCCAGGCACAGTGGGGCAGGCCTGTAATCCCAGCACTCTGGGAGGCTGAGGCAGGAGGATCGGAAGAGCTCACCCTGCGCAACTTGGCAACTTACCAAGATTTGGTCTTAAAATTTAAAAACAAATAAACAAAAAGGGCTGGAGATGTAACTCAGTCCAAAGGCTCTGGGTTCAAACACCAGTACCAAAAAAAGTGTGTGTGGGTCTTCCGTTGGCTCACTCAGATTACTATATCTGCATTCCTGGCTATTACTGGGATACAACCGATGGTCTCCGACTCATCCCTGGAGGTCTGTAGCTGGAAGCCTGGCCTGGGACAGCTAAGAGAGGAGCAGCTTCGAACCAGCGGAGCACCACTGGCTGCCTGCAGAGGAAAGTGAGTGTCCTGGCCCCTCATGGAAACGTGTGTGGAAGATGATACAGAACCACTTTGATCATTTCTAAGGGATCGCCGAGAAGGAATGACGAAAACCCTGTGAATAAAGATCTGAGGAACTGATCCTCAAAGAAACCGGACACAGGAAGAAAAAACAGCCAACCTCGATGCACGGGGCGATTAGGAGTTCGCCCCTGAACCCGGGCTCCAGCCACAGAAGCCAGAGTTGGACATCATCAGAGCAGGAGAGCTTCTAGCCGCGCTCGCAGCAAGGCTAGCGAAGTGAGAACTTTCCGGCCCTCCTTTCTCACCTGCCTCCACATGTCAGCCTTGAAAATGAGGTGCGGGGCGGGGTGGGTGGGGCTCAGCTCTACTGGCTTCCTGGAGCTCTGAGGCCCCATCCTGGAGAACAAGTGACTTGTCCACGTTCACACAGTTGGAAGCTTTTATAATTTATTTACTACTAAAAAGGTCACTGTGAGACTGAATTGCCTAAGGACTTGAAGTGTGTCCTTTTCCTCTTAAGTTAACTTCATATTTAGCACTCTTTATTAAGCGCGATCAGTAGCTATGGGACTGCCCAAGCTGTTACTTAGGAAAGAGAAGTAAACCTTCCCCTTTTCATTCTAAAAGGACAGCAAAACACAAGAGAAGTTTTCTGGTTCCATGCTTGAGTTAAATATATGCAAAGCAAGCACAGAAAGAAGTCAGAATAAAATTGAGACAACTCAAGACAAAAGCTTGCAAAGAGTGAACAGCGGGTCATGTAGAAAGGATGAGGGATAAGAATAAAATACTGGTGGAAATGTCTGGACTATGGGAGCTGGGGGACAGCTAAGCAACGAGGTCGGTCGGGGGGCTGGGACGCAGCGCCCGCCCGCCCGTCCTACCTTCCGGGCCGAACACCTCCCCGCAGTGCGAGCAGAAGAAGTGCTCCGGGTGCCAGGTCTGGTCCATCGCCGTCAGCACTCTCTGCAGCGGGCACACAGAGGCCAAAAGTCAGGGTGGGCACGCCCGGCCTGGCTCCCGCGCGGCACCGGAAGCGGCGCTGCGGCTCACTTACGTCCCGGATGGGCGCTGCGCAGTAGGCACAGCGCGGCGAGAAAAGGCGGTGGTAGTCCTCGGGGCAGTAGGCCACGCCGCTCCGCTCGAAGAAGGGCCTGAAGCCGACCTCTTCTTTGCAGTGAGTACAGACGAAGTGCTCCGGGTGCCACGACTGCCCCAGAGCATGGATCACCTGGGTGGGAGTGACACGTGATGGCGGCAGGCGGATGCCCAAGGCCCAGGGGTGCGCACGCTAGAGGGCACTCTTCGCACCACTGCCCCCACTTCCGCATCCCTGAGGTCACGACCCAGGCTCCACCGAGGTGGTCCCTGGCCTACAGAAAACACTTTCCAGGTTGGCCTCTCTGACCAAAGCTGCAAGCGTTCTCTGCCATCTACTGCCCCGGGGGGAGAAACAACGTGGTGCGCGCTGGTGGCGGACAGGAAGAGGCTACAGCCTTACAGCAAAGGGACCCTGGGAGAGGAGAAGGCCCAGTGCGTTTCTGCTGCTTTGCTCTGAGCCCTCGTCTCTCATCCCGTGCTGTCGGCCTGCACAGCCTTCTCCATGGATTTGGGGGAGGATGATACAGAGCAAGGGTCTGCAGCTATGACCGGAAGCTAAAAACTGTAAACAATCGAGACCTGAAGTGTTTGAAAAAGGGAGCAGTGAGAAAGGTCATCTCGGCAAAGACAGCAGAAAAATGGATAAGAACTCAAGGAGTTAAGATTCTGCTGGTGTCAAATCTTACATCTATTTATTTCTAGACCTCTGCATTCGTGAACATCTCTGTGCTCTGTTTCCTCATCTTTACAAAGGGAGAGAACAGAATCTCCCTGAAAGGCCAGAGAGACCATTCCACGACGAGGAACTTGTAGAGCACCCAGCTCAGAGCCCAGAGCACTGAGAGCGGTCAGGGACTATTAATGATTACTAAAATGCCTTAGGTATATATAGAAGAAAAGCCACCCCTGGTGGGACAAAGATGAAGACGCGACATAGGCACTGAAGCATCAGCACCCACGCTCATCCCACCTTTCCTGCAATCGGTTTCCGGCAGGAGGCACAGTGGCCCTTGGGCACAGTGGCGATGCCAAGGTCCTGCAGGTCCTGCTCCAAACCCCCAAGCATCGAGTCCAGGGAGACTCCGTGGTCCTGCTTGCCTGGTACGTGTTTCTTGCTGATATCTGCTTTCACTGCAACCTGTTACAAGGAAAGAGTGGCCTTGGTGTACTCCGGCTCTCCTTGGCAGCAAGAATACACAACCCTACACGCTCGTCCCTACCAGACCATCCCTCGGTCTGCTCCTCACCTTCCCCCAAGGCACCAGAGGAACCCAACCTTTTAACACCCACAAAAATACTTTCACTTCCTTTTCATTCTAGATGCCTCCGACCAAATGAAAGTTAACCAATGTTCCTCTATTTGTAGAAAATTGAGTTTATGAAGATGATAACTTTCTACCTCTTTTAAAGATCCCCATAGCCATTTAATCATATCTTCCTTTTATTCAGTTAATCTTCCACATTTGTTGAACATCTAGTCTGTGCCAGGCATTACTCTAGGTGCCTAGAATAGAGCCAAGATCAAATTTCTCCTCTGATGAAGTCTGCCTTCTATGAGTGATAAACCATAAACAATTAAAAAAACATGAGCTGCAATGTCAGGTAAAGAAAATTATACGTTATCTATGAAGATAGAAGTGGGAGAGGGCAGGATGGTGGGGAAGAATTATTTAGGTGGGGGTGAGCAGAACACGCCCCTCTGAAGAAGAAAGATTTGAGCAGATCTGTGGGTGACACTTGGGGACCCAAAAATATTGATATTTGTAGGGAAAGCATTCCAGAGGGGGAAAAGGCCCTGAGAGAGGAAACAGTTTGGTGCATTAGAAGAACAACGAAGAGGTCAGTGGGGCTAGGGCAGGAGGAATGAGGCCGAGAGGACGATGAAGAGAAAGGCAGAGATCACATTGGGCCTCGTGTATTCCAAGGGGACAGGAGCCACGGAAGGAATCTGATTCACAGTGTCGCTGTGACGGATGCGTGGAGAACTAGGTCTCCACCAGCAGGAGCAGATGCAGGAAGACTATTACATAATGACATAGGTGAGTGTTGGGGAGCTGAAGGTGAGGGAGAATGGTCAGATAAGACTTGCTGATGGATTGGACTTCGTCAAGCAAAACTCGGAATGATTACCACAAGCCATTCAAAGGAAATGCCTCCGATTACAAAACAAAGATGCCTCTCTTGTCCCCCATCCCTTCAAGGTCTCATTCTAGCTCCTTCTGTGTAGTCCCAGCTGGGCTGTGCTACTGTCCACCTACCGCTCAGCTGATGAGAAAGCGGCACTGGATCTCCACCACCTCTACACCATCCAGACTTTCTCTGCCTCCTGCCCACGGCCCTCACTATACCTTTCCAGCCTGGCTTTTGCTGTGCAGTGAAAGGCCTTATGGTTTAAGGCCCGCAGTTCCCTGAAGGCATCTGTTACTGTCTGCCTCAGGCCTCTCCTCACTGTCTCCTCACTGCCGGAAATAACCTCCTGCTATCTCACCAGCCAGAATCTTCATTTCCCTTCAAGCAACTCTGATCCTCTGACAGATTTCCTCTCTCCTTTGTTATGTAACATTTGTTGACAAAAACAGATCTGCTGCATTAAGATTTAACTATGCCTGGAGACATGCTGAGTCAGTTAGAAAACACAATGTAAATTTCATTGTGTAAATTTTTTCTACCATTTTCAGATATGCAGCACAATGGCCAGTTCACCCAGCTTTGTTGTCCACATGAGCTAATCAGAGCACATTAGCCATTCAGGGAAACGTGTTTGTGTGTTTATTCATTCATTTCTCACGTGTGACTCACTCTGTGCTGGACACTGCAGGGGCCCTGGGGTCCAAAGGTGAGTCGGGAGATGAGGTTCCTTCCTCCCCAGTCACACGTTCCTATATTCTGTCTTAAAACTATTTTGCAATTCATGAATGTACATCACATCCTCCAACCAGATCTGGAATAACTGAATTCTCTACCTTAGGAAATCTAGGTCATATTTCCTTGATAAATCCTTAAGCTCACTTATCTGATTTCCGTGCCCTGCCAGGACCTGTGAGCTTGTCCTTTGCACTCCTGTGCAGCACCAGGGGGTGACTGTCTCAGCCTGGGCTCGGGGCACCTGTCCTCCCTCTTTTTGCCTCCCTTGCTTGGTCTCCACGTGCTGTCAGCCTCCTCTGTCCCGCTGGGCCGGATCTCGGTGACAGCCCTTCCTCATCGTCGCGCCTCGGGGCTCACTCCCACTGAAAGGACCTCTCTTCCTATCTCTTTATGTTCACACCTATGTATTCTGCAGACTGCCTCCCAACTGCCTCCTGCCTCTCTGCTGAAATCTGCATAACATCTCTCAGACCTTACCGTTTGCTCACATATTCTGGTGAGCCACCTGCCCTGTACCCCATCAGTGTCCCAGAGGCGTAGCCCTCAATTTCCCAAGCACAGTTCAACCTCCTTGGGATCATATTATCTTCTGTGTCCAACTAACACGTGGCCCAAAGCTGAGCTCCTCCACTGAGTGACATTTAGTCCGGGAAGATGAATGGTAACTTAAAACTCCAGAGACCCTGGTCCCCTCTGGCCTGGAGGGTCTCGAATCACCCCACACTCACCTCAGCCTGCATGTCACTCAGGTGGGCCATGAGCTCATCCAGCTGAGCAGCTGCCAGGGTTTTAGGAGGGGCTGGTGATTCCTTTGGCTCTTGAACCTCGCTATAGACAGGGGGAAAAAATCTTACTATCAAAACTCAAGTAAATGTTAAGCTGCACGTAAACTATCAGAAAATGCAATTTTAACTGTTAGCCTTTTAGGTGTGTATCGAAAACCAGGGACAGACAGCATTTAAAAAATAGCTGCTAGAAGAAAAATCTGACAAGATCTCTGTCTTTGTCTCCATCTCTCCCTGCTCATCTCAGAACATAACCGTTGCTCTCAAGTGTGTGCGGGAAGCCGCCGGCTGAGTAGCTGCCAGGCTTTGAGTCCTGGACTTTCAAGCACTAGCAGCTGCTGGAAAAAAAGCTAGGAAGCCATGGCCCTGTGTTTTTCATTTGAAGAGCATAGTTTTCAATTATAATGTACTATATCTCTGCTAGTTACTGTCAGAAAAAAAACTTGTAAAAAATAATAAGAATATAGACCAAGCACCACAGTCTAAGGTCTGTGAGCTGATGCTGTGTCCACCACTTACCCACTGCCTCCTGCTGCTTCCCGCAGGGCTCCAGTGGCCCCGAGAGCCTCAGTTTTACTTTCTGGCCCTTCACAGAAGAGCTTTGCAAAGGCCTGGCATGTACAGTTTTGATGATGTACAATGTTGATTTCACCTTTATATGATGTTGATTTCACCTTTATATAATTGTGTTTGTTTATTTGGTACCAGGGATCGAACCTGGGTCCTTGCGCTTGCAAGGCAGATGGCAGAACCACTGAGCTAAATCCCCAGCTCACCTTTATATAATTGTGAATAAATTATGAATAAATAAAACTTTGGGCTCAACAAATAGAATATACACTTTGAGTCCCTGCATAACCATTAGCAAAATTAACCATGTTTGAGGAATTAAAATAAAGCTCAATAAATTCTAAACAGTAAATCATATAGATCATATTCCTAGATTTCAGTCACTAAAAGTATAAATCAATCTTTAAGAATTATCCACTTACAAAAACAGAAAGCATTTCTAAATAATTATTGGGATTTTACAAAATTAAACTGAATTTTTAAAGTATTTCAGAAGTAGCAATGAGAAAACATGCATAAACACCCCCTACACACCCTCTTGTAGTTGAAAGCAATGTATTATTGAATGGAAAATATATAAATAGACAAGTACAACATTGAAAACTAAGGTGAAATAAATAAGCAAAATTTACAACTCAAGAGTCTAAAAGCAACCCTATAACCAAACAGGAATAAAAGAATATGTAATGGATCAGAGCACAAAAGGGAAAAAATGACAGCTTTTAGGAAACATTGTAAAAAACATGCAAGTACACCAAGGCCAGGAAGTGAATGAAAAAAATGTCTGACATCTTTAGTCATTAGGGGAACACAAATCAAAACTACATGGAGATTCCATCTCACCCCAGTCAGAATGACTCTCATGGGGAATGCAAAACAGCAAACCTGTGGTCCTGGGATAGGGGCAGGGGTTCTACACAGCTGGTGGGAATGTTAATTAGTACAGCTACTCCACTATGGAAATCAGTATGGAGGTCCCTCAGAAAGCTAAAAACTGTGTTATTTGGTCCAGCTGTACCACTCATTGGTATACTTCCAAAGAAGAATATTTCCAGAGAATTAGAAGACAGCATATTATAGAGACACATGCATACCCATTTTATAGCAATCCAAATCGTCACAATAGCTCACTGTAGAAAGAGCTTGGATACACATGAACACATAAATGGACAAAGAAAATGTGATGTATATCACATTTATTATTGTCTATATTATATGTAATGTATACATTATAATATGTATACATATATATGAGTATCATTCAGCCATAAAGAGAAATAGAATCATGACTTTTGCAGGCAAATGGATGGTTGGAAACCATTGTGTTAAGCAAAATAAGCCAGTTGCAGTTAAATATCACATGTATTCTCTTATATAGTCTAAAAATACAATTAAGTAATTAAGAAAAGTTGAAACTAGAAGGTAGTCCTTAGAGAGATGGGGAAGAGGAGGAGGTTGGAGGAGGCAGGAGGAAAGGGCTGGGTAATGGAGATGAAAATGATCAAAATACATTATATGGATGTACCAATATACCGAAAGGAATCTCATTATTCTGTATCCCCAACATGCACCAAAAACCTTGCAAGTATATAGAAAAATACAGAAAATTATCCAATTAGTTTTATGAATATCATAGAAAGTTGATACTAAAAGGGTGCAGTGTATTGCTACATAGCTGTAGATGGAAAGAGACTGAGATGGGAGAAGGGAGAGAAGCTGAAGTAAAAATAGCAGGAATATGTTTTTTTAAAAATTTATGGCAGAGTAGTGTTTATTGCCAGTTATCCAAAAATGGTTCAACATTAGGAAAAGGAGTAATATAATTCATTACACTAATGATAGAAATGCTTTATAAATATACTGCCAGGTGCTGACAAAACAGTGAAAAGCAAATTTAACTCAGTCCTACTGTTGAAGATTGAGGGGAAAAAGGAAAATGCCATGACCTGATACCATGTATCTACAAGAAATCTACACCAAGACCCATATTTAATAGTCAAATATTGAACATGTTTCTAATAAAGAGATAAGCAGATGCAGACCCTATTATCCATTCTAATCTTCACTATTATTCTAGAATACATTATGAAATACATTTTAAAGTAAAATAAGAAAATTATATAATTTTTAAGAAGACAAAGCACTCTCTTTTATTTTCTTTTAAAATAAATGATGTGATTATCGACCTAGAAAATGTAAGATATATCATCAATGGTGACCAGCTACAAGAATACAATGAAACTATCTTTCCTGTATACAAGCAATTAGAAAATTCAATGAGTAAAAAGAACCTCTCCATAATCCTGACAAAAATTATAAAATATCTAACAAAAATGTATAAGATTTCTATGAAGAAATACCACTGACAGACAAGACACACATACTTAACTAAAAATGGGCAAGGGATATGAAGACATACTCCAATGAGGACATACAAATGGCCACCAGATGTATAAGAAGATACTCAACATCATCATCACCCGGGAAATGCAAATCAAAACTACTAGAATATGCCTCCTCAGACCCATTAGAGCGGTTATTACCAACAACCAACAAGTCAAAAGATAAATAGTGGCAGGGTGGAACAAAAGGGAACCCGGGCACACAGGCAATGGGAAGGTAGACTTGTGTATCCATTATGAACAAGAGTATGGAAGGTTCTAAATAAAGAAAAACTAGAGCTACCCTGTGACCAGCGATCTCTCTTCTGAGCGTATACCCCAAAAAATAAAACCACCACCTGGTCAGGAATCCATCCTATGTCGTCACATTATTCACAATAGGCCAGTCATAGAAAAAACATCTGCTGATGGACAAGCAGATAAAGACACTTAAATAAACTGCATAGGGAGATAAATGAAGAAACAGATTGGAATGTAGTTTAGTCTTAAAACAGGAGAGCTTGCCATTTGTCATCACATGGGTGAATGCAGATGGCACTATGCAAAGTGAAAGAAGGCAAAATGGGGGGGTGGATAAGCATTGCATGATTTAATTTGCATATGGAACATAAAAAATTTCAAATATATAAAAATAACACTGGTTGCCAAGGGTGATGGGGGGCAGGAAGTGAGGAAATGTAGACCAGAGGATACAAAGTAGCAAATATGTAAGGAGAACAAGTCTGCAGAGCTAATGTACAGCATGAGAACTACAAGTAGGAAAACTGTACTGTTTGGGGGATTTTTTTTAAGTGAGTAAAATTTAGTAGCTTAGCATACATGTATGCAAAGTAATGATGGAAGGATTAATTTGCTTCACTTAATATATATTCCATAACATCATGTTATGTATCTTAAATACACATAATAAAATTTATTTTGTTTAAAAAGAAAAATAGAGATACATGCTATCCAAATTAAACTGCAAATTCAATGTTATTCAAATTATAATCCTATCAGAATTATTGAAGCTATTAATGAGCTGATGCTAAAATTCATGGGCTAGAACACTCAAGAAAATGTTGGGGGATAAAAGCTAAGGAAAGAGTAATTGTTGAATAGATGTAATATCTTATGAAATGACAATAATTATATCTGTTTGATGTTGGTAAAGAAACACATAGATAGGGCCAGGGATTTAGCTCAGTGGTTTTGTCACCTGTGCAAGCGCAAGGACCCAAGTTCGAGCCCCAGTACCAAAAAAAAGAAAAAAAGAAACACATAGATAGATCAAAGTAGTAGACCAGAAAACCCAGAAACAGAATCCTCCACATATAAGTCCGTCATATCTGGTGAATGTGGCATTTCAGATAATCAGAAACAGACTATTGCACTCTGAAAAATAATCTATTTAGAACACAATAAATTTAGTAACTTCACACGTGTACAGATGAGTAAGTTTAAGACGAATTAAAAATATGAATAATTTTAAACAAAATTACTAGAAGAAAAAGAAGTTTTTTCAAAATTTGGGGTGATGGAAGCATTTCTAAGAAAAACATAAAACTGAAGTGAAGTCAAAAAAGACAAATGACAGAAAGTGTCAAAATTTTAAACATAATTAAATATTTGAAACATAAATAATACTCAACATTTTTGTAAAAATCTACAAGTCAATAATAAAAAGCACACCTGTAATCCCAGCACTCAGGAGGCTGAGGCAGGGGGACTGTCACGAGTTCAAGGCCAGCCTGGACTACAGAGTGAATTCAAGGCCAGCCTGAATTAGAGTGAGACCCTTTCTCAAAACACAAAAAAGAAACCAAATGAAACCTGAGCTAAAGACTTTTTAAAAACAAGTTTCAGAAAAAGAAACTCAAATATTTACTATAAAATTATGCTCAATCTCATTAATCTTTAAGCAATTTAAGGCAATGAGATATCGAATTTTACATATTGGTCAAAATTTTCAAAGTCTGACAGTCTGTGTTGGCAGAAGTCAGGATTATACTTACACATACATATTTACATGTACCACAGTTACTTATGTAGATTTATAAAATCCTTTTCAAGGCGGCATCTACCAATATTCCAAATGCACATACCCTTTGATTCATCAATTTCACTTCTAAGACTCTAATCTACAGGAAAATTAGACATATATACAAATATAGATACAGATATAGTGCAAGAAATTCATTTAACACAGTTTTTTGAGCCAATCGAAAATAAACTAAATAGAGTTGAAGTCAAATGAATTATATATTTCATCCAAGATAGAGAATAGGGTACAACTGCTAAAAAAATGCAGGCATAGATTTATGTCAACTAAGAAAGACTTCTAAGATATATTGTTAAATCAAAACAGCAAGGCCCAGAACAATATGAAGAATACCCTCTGTTCATACAAATGGTGAGCTCGCATACAGGTGACCCTACACTCACAAAGGTCCCTAGAGAGGCATGTCAGGGCAGGGCCCGCTGGCAGGGACGGTTGGTTTCAGGGGGAGTGTTTAACCTTTTCCGCTTTGTATTTCTGAGTTCTTTGACTTTTTACACACATGAGTTTATGAAATAATTTTGTATCTTTAGTTGCATTTTCAAAGCAAAACAGGGGGTCATCTGTTCTAGAAAAACAGTGAAAGCACATACCAGCCCAGGAGCTGGGGGGGTCACCCAGGAAGTCAGTGGTGTAACCCCATGTGTGACTCACTTACCACATCAGCATGTGCTCACACTCACATGTGATTCCATAAACAGCCCTCAGCAAGCTGCCCAAGTAGGGAGTATAGAGATCCTGTCGTATATGCCATTATACATGTTAAATGTAAAAAGTGTGAAAACTTCAGAGATACGGACAGAAAAAAATTAAAGCATACATAATCTTTCAGGAGGAAACTGCTTTGCGGTCTTTTATGATAATGTGTAATTTTAGAAATTTTAAATGACTTTTTCATATCTTATACATATAGCTGTGCAACTGTTATACAGTTTGTGTTTATTGTGTGGCTACACAATGACTCATCCTCCATAAAAAGCTTTACACAGGCCCTCTTTAAATCTCTATAACAACCTTAAGAGCTAAGTACCATCACCTCAAATGAAAACACTAGGGCGAAAAGAAGTTAAAATTTTTCTCTACATAATACAGGAGACAAATAACAGAGATTGGGCCTGCAGGCTGCAAAGTTTGTGTTCTCTATCTTCCATCATGTTTAAAGCTTATATTGTTCTCAGATATATAATGCACTATAATTTATCAAAGCAAATTTATTAGTGGCCATGTAAACTTCTCTCTAATTTTTGCTATTATAATCAGTATTGCTAAATAAATATTTGCATCCATGTGTAATTATTTCCAAAGAGTGAGTAAATTTTAAGACATGGAATCACTAGGCGAAAGGGTATGACAGGTAACTGACTGGAATCATGTATAAACATGAATCAAGAGAGCTTAGCTAACAACAAATCAATATACAATTAATCTCTCTGTCTCTGTCTCTGCCCCCCCCCCCCCCCCGGCAACACACACATGATCCAAAGCCACAAATAAGAGCAAACAATTCTAAGTATTTATCAACCAGGAAAAAAGTAGAAAGAAAGTGAATACTTTCCTTAACAAAAAAGGACTGTCTTTTGAGCACTTGCTTATTTTTAAATATTTAACAAAAGGAAAATAGTTATCTTTTTCTCTTAAGATAAAATTGTTTGTCTTTTAAGTATAGCACAGCCCTCTGCCACAAAAAGTACATTCTTTTTGTTTTTAAATCTGGGAACAAATGTTCAGATATTCAAGTAACTGATTCACTTCTGGGAAGCCCCTGGAAGGACAGAGAGCTCTAGCTCTCACAAACTTTCAGCCACGGTGCTTTAGTGATTGCTGCCCTGCATATGCTCCCTGGCAGGCCTGTGTGAACAGCACTAGGATAAGTGCAGTGTCCTACCTGGCCCGCCTCTTCATGAAACCTTCCCAGCCCACTCTGGGCCACACCTGTACTTATTCAAAGACTCCCCACTGGTTTTTAAGTAGCGCCCTAGTTGCAGCACATAAAGAAAAATAGATCCTTGTATAATATTCTAATAGCAATTGAACGAACTGTATAGTATTCTGAATAAGAAATGAGACCTTGAAGAGTTCATGATTACCAAGTAAAATGCCAACTGCAGGAAATGTTCCTGAAACCTCAAATCAGAGGTCCTTGGATGTGTCCCTCGACCTTTTTAAGGCAGAAAAAGTGCTTTGCGATGTCAACAGCAACAACTTACTTCATTACTTAAGAGATTTTCAACATCCTTCTTTTTTTTCTTTTTTTTTTTTCTTTCTCTTTTTGGTCCTGGGGATGAACTTGGGACCTTGTGCTTGGGAGGCAGGCAGCAGAACCACTGAGCTAAATCCCAGCCCTACGTAAGAGATTTTAATAATACGGATCACAAGACAAGATGTATGCTGAAAGAATCTAGACTTCTTATGTAATGGGGTTCACTGTGCTAGATATTCCATTTATTTCTCTTATTTTTTTATGAATTGTTCCTCTCTGCTGTTTCCAAAATTATTATTTTTATTCCTGTTCATTTAGATACATTTCTAAATTACTGTTCACATTGCTATGGATATATAATTGCTAAAAATACTATTCCACTGCTCTATTCAGCTGGCATTGCATATATGTTCAAGGGATACTGGAAGCAAAGTTCGGTTAATAGAAGCGGGCCAGCGTCTACGGTGGAGACAGATGCTGGAGTCGACATTCCATCTGTGCAAGCTTGCTTTCCCGCTCTGACTCACACCAGCCTCAGGAGTTTATAAATGTCTGTAACGTATTTATAAATGATTTTATATTGCTCTCCCACACACCCCTACATAGCAGGCAGGTATCCTGCAGGAATGAAGAACGTATCAGGCAAGGTCCAGCCAGGAAAACACAAACCACTTTGACTAAATGAAAGGAATTGAACCAGAACTTGATTACACACATGATGGGAACAGCTCAGGCCCAAAACAGGCACCCAGGTAACCCAGAGATTAGCCGCAACAGGAAGTAAGTCATCGCTGCCCCTGTGGCAAAGGACAAAGCGAAGAGGCAAAGTGGCCACAGTTCTGCACCCTCCAATCTCTCCACCGGCTCTGCTAGTCATAGCCAGCGAGAGCAGGGTCCCTGGGGCTTGGAGACCTCAGCCTGCAGGGCCGCCTCTCTGGAATACAGAGCGAGAGAAAGGGAGGAAATGAGGGAAGTGGGCCAGAGTCCTGTCGTGCAGGGAGCAGGTGCCCATCAGTCAGTACTGCTGCGCTCTCACTTGATCATAGTCCCAGATGGACCTCAGGATGGTGTTTCTTGGGCTGGTTTTTGTGTTACATATATTGTGTGTTCACTTGTACTTCAGTCTTGGCTTCCTGGGTTTAAGAAAGCAATATTTACTGAGGGCCCCGCATGTACCAGGAACTGGTTTCTTGTCGTTTTATTTTGTGTTGATTTTTCACTAGGGCAGAGAGGGAGACCACCAGGGGAAAATTCTCACCGGCAACTTCCTGAAATTAGAACAAACCGGCACTATATGTACTGTATCACTAACCTGGCCTCACTCTCAGCAAAGTAGAAAGTGCCCTCAAGTGGAAAGTTTTAAAAAGACTTCTGTCAAAGTCCTTCCCCTATTCTTATCTCGCAGGGCTGCTCTGCTGGCTGTGACTCAAGCCCGAGACAATGGGGAGCACACTCTTCACCAGGCATCACATCCTTTCTCTCCATGTCCTGAGCCCTGTGATCATCTGGTGTCAAAAATCGCAAGCTACAACTGAGAAGAGAATGAGAAAGGTGGTCTTTCTATTTTTTCAGTGTCCATTCAGTTTTGGCCTAGAGGATTTACAGTAGTGAATGAATGTGTGTAACTTTTACAAAAAGGAAATCTCTCGGCTGCCTCAATAAATGTTCAGCAAATACGGAAAGAAGCGAGCACTCTCTAGCCTGCGACGCTCGCTGCCTACATGTAGCCCTGGTCCTACCTCTGAGGTAGCTGCAGTCCTTGCCTAAGTTTCTTCAGCTGTGTTTTCTCTTTTGCGAACTGGAGCATATCAGGAATAGAAGGGCCAATACATCTGTGGAGACTCTGTGGAGGCTGTTACACTTTTTCAGGAGACAGGGAAACTGTGGAGCCCCTCAGCCTGGACAGACCATCTGGAAGTCAGGCGGCCTGCAGAGCTGCCCCGAGTCACCCAGCAGAGTTCCTCTTCCTCTGCCCAAAAATTATGAAAAGAGGAGGAGGAGGAGTTCGAATAATAAACCATGGCAAACCAAACTGTGGCCCAGAGATTGATAACAATCATCTAAGGACTTTAATTTTTAACAATATATAATAAAAGCAAAAACATACCTGTGGATATTGGGCTCCTGGGTATTGGTAGTATGTTCAAGCTGCACCTAAGACAAATAGGGACAGAGAAGAGTAAAGATTGATTTTTGTTTTTAGAATATTGGTGTTTATCAACACCATGAATTAAAGGATGTTTTTAGTTTGGAAGGGGACAACTAGAGTATCTCTGAGATTCCTTTCCTAAGGCAGAAAAATTACCAGCCACATTGCAGAGAAAAGCCCAATTCTAGAGTAGTTGTTGTGTGAACAAATACTAGCAGCTCCTCCCTGCCTGAAAAATGAAGACATGGTGAAGTACACCAGCCTCAGAAAGGAAACCTAAAGGCAACAAAATGTGTCAGGGCAAAGCCCCTTCAACTGGTCAGGCAATGCAGTACTGCTCTGCCATAAAGAAGGGTACATCTGAGTCTTTCGTAGAGAAATGGATGCAGCCTGAGACCAAAATATTAAGTGAGATAAATCAGACACACAAGCTTAAATATCGCATAGTTTCCCTTATATGAGAAACCCAAAGTATAAATAAAGAGCAAAATAAAAGGTAGGTAATAGGAAACAGGGAGAGAGACCTTTTGCAAATGGGGAGGAGACCAAGAAATGGAGGAAGAGGAGTCGAAGGGAAGGGGATGAAAAAAGAATTAAGATTTGTTCTGAACATTACCAGCTGCCCACAAGGAGCAAAATCGTTATGTACTGCAAACATGGACTAACAAGTATAAAAAAATTTTTTAAATAGTCAGGAGGTCCCTCAGGGAAGGTTGTAAGGCAATTACACTTGACCTATGAGAAGAAATCATGTGCGCATTTAAAACACGGTTGACCAGCAATTCATTTGTTCACTGAAAAAATACTGAACCCTGTCATATGCTGTTGAGGGGATGCAGCAGGCAAAAAACAAAACAAAATAAATCACCTAAAAATTGAATGCCCTGGAGCTCACATTCTGGGGGGTGAGAAGAGAGGAGACAGCTTAAAACGTCACACTGATCTGGAGCTGGAAAGTGGGACATGAGGGGAGATGGTGACTGTCGATAAACTGAGTGGAGGGCACATGAGCAAGAGCTCCAGGAGGCAAGGAAAGGAGTCTGCAGAGGGTAAGGCAACCTTCCCAGAAGGAGGGGCTGAAGCACCTGGTGGAGCAGCCAGGAGACCTCTGTGGCCTGAGCAGAGTCAGCCGAGCCAGGGAGGAGGGCCCCAGGTCACACACATAGGCATGGCGTGACCAGGTAATTTACTTTCAGTTGATACTTTTGGGGACAAAAGGTGTTCTAGAAATAAATCATGTAACTTTTGGAAAGATATAGTTGTTATCTAAAAGCTTGGTTTTAGTACATTGCAGAACATAAAAATACAGCAATACCTCGGTTTATGAATGCTTCTGTTCATGAACAATTCGGTTCACAGACAGAAGCATCTGGCAAAATTGTGCTTCTGCTGGAAAACTCCAAATTGAGTGATGAACAGGACCACGGCCATCTTCCCCAGAGCTGTGGAACGTCCTGAACCCAGGTACCACTGTAATTCTAAGTTTATTTTTAAATAAAAAATTTCTAATACATTTTAAGTGATCCATAACTATGAACATTTAAGCAAACTTTAAAACCTATAGTGTTTAAAAATAGCACAAGTAAATTAGTTATCCTTGATATCTAGGCACCTTAATTGGTTACTCAGTTGTAGGTCGCTCTGACATTGCAGTGCTTTTATTTCTGTAATACTGCAATCATCTGTCAAGCTGCACTTTATGATTATTATATCTGAAATTGTTAAAGGTTTTAATTTATGCTTCTCTGAAGACCATAGGTTTTTGACTTTTTTTTTTTTCTCTCAGCACCAGCAAATTGAACTCGGGACCTTGTGCTTGTGAGGCAGCCGTGGAGCCACTGAGCTACATCCCCAGTGGCCATAGGTTTTTAACTGAGAAAATACTCCCTCTCTTGTATGAATATGTAAGTTCAAAGGAAATTCTGCAAAATGGAAAGGTTCCTAAATTCTTTTTTTAATATTAAGTTGTGTAAGCATTTTAGGACAATATTTTCACGGGCTCTGTCTTTCCACCTCTGTTCAAATCACCTTTGTTCAATAATATTCCTATACGCCAAAACTTTCAAGTTGTCTCTATTTGCACCTTCTTTTAACATTTCACCAAATGCAGATACTGCAAAATCATATACTTTCACAATTTCACTTCATTCTGGTGAAGCATATGTAAATTTATCTAATTAAAAAGAGGGGTCAAAGTTCATCAAAGTCGAGATTTGACCAAAGCACAATTTCCAACTGAGCTCATTAAACCACATGAGCTCTTCTCTTTTGATTTGTGCTGTTCCTCTTGACTTTTGTAGGGAGAAATTTGAGCTGCTTCCTTTCAGCAAGCTTTATTTTACATAATTATAACTTGCTAAAAGTTTCAAAAGCTGTATTTCCATGTCATATTCATTGAATAATTTGATTAAAGAATTCCAACTGATTTTGCACATTATTGCAACCTATGTTTGGGTTGCTTTGCAAAGATGTGTTTTTCAAAGGCTCAGGCATTTCAAAAATCCAAGAATGACCCCACACAGAGAGAAAATATATACAATCACGCTGACATGTTTTGTACTGAATATCAGCTTCTGTGCCTGAAAAAAGTCTATACATCAGTTGCTTAGATACTCTGTGAACATATGCGGTAATTCTTGTAAATGTTGACATTTCCGTTTCCATTCTGATTGTAGGATACTGCAGCTTGTTTAGATGCATGCATTGATTTTATACACATCACAGCCCATTCCAATTTCTGCTCCATAGGTTTCTAAATTGGTAAGAACACCGTAAACTCCACCAACATTTGTATTAATATTCTTACCACAAAAAAATTATTCTTAATGTTAAACTTTTTAATTAAGTTTATAATTACATTAGCAACATCAAGTTATTTCTTTATTTATTTTTGGCCTGGAGAATGAACCTGTAAATAATTGATCACTTTAAATTGGATGAAAAAAAAACTTGAACTGTTTTAGAAACAAATATTCTAATTGACCCCTCTGATGACGTGGAAACGAAACTGGCATGATCTGCTCGCTTGCCAAGGGAATGGCCTCATTAGTCATCACCAGTGCTCCATATTGACAAGCCCAAGGAAACCTAGAGTCGAAAATGAGTGATTAGTTTAGATGAGTGGAGTCTTCTGATAGAAATGGAAAACTGCTTCGCAGCAAAGGGGAAGTGCACTTGGGCAGCTGCACGGGTGGAATTACCACCCTCAAGCACATTCTTTTAAAGTTAAACACTAACTTGTGAGGTCGATGCCAATTCTTCGAATTCCCCATCTTTGTACCTTCTGGTTTTCAGGGCATGGCTGTCTCTGCTTCCTTCTGTGGTGATGGCAAATGTTGACAAATGTTTTGCACAAGCTACACATTTGTCATCAACTTCTTTGAGAGAGTAAAACATGAAGTTTTGGTTTTGGTTTTAGCCAACCGCTGAAAGGGTTTATTGTAAAGTCTGGAGTATTATGAAATAAAACAAATACTTAGAATTTTGCACACGTGAATAATAAAACTGCTTTAATAGGAATGTTCAGATTACACTATAATGTCTGACAAGAATGTTGAGCCTCTATTTCCTAAATATCATTTGTATGACATTAAGCCGCATTGTCCCATATTTCTTACTGACTCTAGGGAGGCGCCATGCATGTCACAGAGCACCGCATGCATTATGGGAGGCCATGGGTGGTGGCACCCAAGAGCCTAGCAGCAGAAAAAGCTCCAAACGTTTCTGCTCCCAGCTGAGACCAGAGGAGTTGCCTCTAAGCTTTAGGAGCCAACATCCTGTATATTACCTGTGAAAGGATGTTGCTTGTTAGCTTTTGCCTGAACAAGATCAGGAAAAGAGACAAGTTAGCATGAGTCACATTTTGCAATTACCCACCATAAAAGAAGAACTCTGTTCACCACGTACTTGTTTTATAGAGTACTAGATAAGACCATGAAAGAAGCCAGAAGAACCAAATGTCTGCCAAGCCATGTTGGCTTATGTTGATGCAAATACTAATAAAAAAACTTTTTTTAAAATTGCAAATTTGGAGTAAAAGGAAGTCATAGGGTGCCAGAAAATGTCTCTCGGTGTAAACCAGAACATAGGGTCACCCACAAAGGTCATGAAATGAGCAGTTGTGGGATTTTTAGCAGAAGAATGGCACAGTCTGGCGTAGGTTTTAACGAATCATCCTGGATCTCTGCTGAGAACAGACTGCAGGAGGATGAGGAGAAGAGAGCTGTCAGGAGCCTATGGCTGTAATCTATAGCGAGGACAAAGATGATAGCTGGTAGATAGACAAATGAGCAGTGCTCAGGAAAGAACAGTTAGAGAGACAGCCTGCTGATGAGCTCAGATTCCATGTCTATGCTACTTGCTGTTCCATATAGTAAACAAGGATAAATGAGAATATCATAGCTCAAAAATGCCACATATGAAGAGCATCTCCTCAGTCCCTCTCACCCTAACTCCATTATCATCAAATAACTTTTTTATAATGCAGGTTCATGTCAATTTAGCCATAGGAAGAGAACACATACCTCAGCAATACTACTTGACAGTTTTAACTTAACCATAAATCAATACGTAGGATTTTTGGTTGTTTTTTTTTTAATACGTCATCTCTTCTTTATTTAGTTTGAGTCAGTTCCTTGGATCTTTGTCATCTGAGTATACTAATCACAGAATTTCCTCATCTGTTCAACAGAAAACGAGCTCTGGAAAGTGATCCTGAAAAGTCAATGGAGAAGACGCATCCGAGCTGCTAAGTCCTTGCCTGGTGACTTCTTGGCTCACTACTGAGCATCTCTGTTGCCCAGAGAGTCACATCAGAACATACCGAGTGCCGCACACGGCACTCTGCTTGTTACCATGACTTCATGGGGGGCGGGGGTCTCAAAGGTTTGTTTTTCTCTGATAATTTCTTTCCAAAGAGAACTATCTCTAAATTAACATCGAAAGATTATCTTTTTCTCTCTCAGAGATATGATTCTCTTTTCATATCATTTTATGTGGGACACAATTTAGTTTTCAGAAATGGGCTCAAACATCTATATTGAAGATACTACAGTAAATGAAAAGTTACCGTTGAGGAACTTCTGTCACCCTGAACAGGCGGGCCCTTTGGAGTCCTGCCGGGGCTTCTGTCCATCTTGGAATGCTGACTCAGGGGAGGAGAAGCTGGGTTAGAATACTCATCACTGTCCTGGAGGGTGGAGCGTTCCAGTTCCTCCAGTAATGCATCTGTACCAGAAGAAACAAGAGAATCACAGGATAATACGTAAGTCCCCACAATCATTTCCCCATAGTCATGCCCACCGTGGCCCCATTCAACTCCTTTTCTTGGATTAAGACTATTTTCAATCCTTTTCTCTGTTTTTTTCTCCTTCCTCTTATTTTATTTCAAGAGCATGGTCTATTTTACTAGGAGGTATTTAATGTCTCTTTATACTCCATTATCATCAAATAACCTTCTTATTATAATGCAGGTTCATGTCAACTTAGCCACAGGAAGAGAACACATACATCAGCAATACTGCTTGACAGTTTCAACTTAACCATAAATCAATACATAGGATTTTGGGTTTTGTTTTTTTTTTTTAATATGTCATCTCTTCTCATTTAGTTTCAGTCGGTGAGTCGATGTACTTTGTGTCATTTCCTGTGGTTGTATTCAATGTCATAGATTCGCTCTAATTTAATTTAATAATAGTTTAATTTCTATGTTGTAGGTATTAATTTTTAATCAGTCATTTCCAGCAGCTCACCCAAAGATCTCCAATTAGAAAAAAAGTAAATCCTAAATATAATTCCCATCAGAAAAATATAAGCAGTTTTATTACCATTTTTTCAAAATATACCACAGAAATAACGTTATTAACCCTGATAGTTTTGTCCTAAATCTCAAGAATTATTCCAAGTATATAACAAAATTCTCCAAACAATGTGTAAATATTCTGACTTTTAGGGCAGAGAGGGAAAAGGGAGTTGGAGAGAAAACAGATACTCCAAAACAAAGTAAGATGTTGCAATCCAAATAGTCGGTACTTCCTTCTCTTGTTCTTAGTTTTTTGTTTTTGGAAAAGACAATGGACTTTACAAACATTATACGAACACTTTTCTTTTGTAATAAAATTAATAATAGAAATTAACAATACCAGCCACAATGCTCGGGAGTTTACACATTTCAATGAATTATCCTAACATTCTGAGGCAAATGATACTACTGTTCTGATTTTGTAGATTAAGAAAGAGACACAAAGTAACTGGCATTGGCTCCCCAGAGCAGGCCCGGGACGTGAATCCAGGCTATCCGACCCCAGCCCCCGAGCAGCTGGAAGTTTGAGGTGGCAGGTCGCCGTCCTCACAGAGGTTCCCTGAGTCCCCTTGCCCATGACTGACTACTCTGTGCTCTAGAACAGTGTTTTCAGTTGTGAGTCAAGACGCAGAAGTAGATCCTGCTGGATGTTTTACCACACGTTACAGTTTTTAAGTTTACAAAACACTGGATTATATTATTTCTAAAGACCTTCCTCACTCTGAAGATCTCAGATAAGTAAAATAAACTTCATGTATTTCAGATTTTGGGAGAATGGATATTTCTTAATGGCATAAGATCTAAACATATTTACAAATAAAAATCATCATAGAACTTTCTCACTCATCTATACCACAAAAACTTTGACTTTTATGCACCATTTTACAGTTAAGCAATTTGAGCTAAATTGTTCAGATCCAATTACCCTTGAATGAATAAATTGTAATGAATAAAAGAGATGGAAGAGGAGCCTATAGATTAAAACACTTAACCTGGGCTGGGGATTTAGCTCAGTGGTTTCGCCACCTGCTGCACAAGCGCAAGGACCCGAGTTCAATCCTCAATACCAAAAAAAAAAAAACCACTTAAAAGACGAATAATTAATTTCAATGTATGAAGCTTATTTAGATCGGTAAACTTGAAAAAATGAAATGATCAAGAATATTGAACACTGACTAGTCAATAATATTAAATAGTTAATTTATTTTAGGTGTGATAATGCTATTTGAAAATACTGTGATTTTTGTTAGTTTTTAGGTGTGCTCATGGTATTTCATGATATTGAGGAATTTCTACTAAGACTGTTGTGGGTGTGGTGCTGATATTGTGGTTATTTGTATAAATATATATTTAGGTTAGAGTTTAATGCTGAAATATTTACCGATGAAATAATGTAATATCTGAAATTGTTTTAAAAGGGTACAAGGATGGAAGGAGGAAGTATAAAATAAGATTGGTCAAGAGTTGATGATTGGTCAAAAGTGATGATGAGTGTATCAGATTTCAATGAACTATTTTCTCCATTATGTTTTAAAACTATAAAATAGTTTTTTTAAAGAAAGGAAAAAGAAAACTAAGCAAGTAAAACTTTTATCTCGGAATTTTATTAGCCACATTTAGTTCTAAAATTCAGAATTCCATAGTTTTATTCTGTATCTCTTTAAAACAAATTATTTTTCTATTTTTCTAGGTTTCTTTCAAACTAGAAGCCACATATCTTCCTGGGCTAATAAAAAGCAATTTAAATAAAAATTGTGGCAAGGGGGAGATTGTACCACAAAGAGTCAGAGGTTACCCTCGGAATCACCAGCTAACCAGTTATTAAAACTGTCCTTTCTAAGATCATGAGTCCCATCTTTGTCTTCCTATTTTGATGAATGTACATCAGCAGCACCCTGAGGTTATGTCTTTTGCAAGATTCTATAATTTGAAGATGACTAATCCCAGTATGACAGATGAGATGCCCCAAGTGGGGAAGTACTCATCTGAAAACTGTTGTCCTTCCCCTAACGCTTCACCTGTGAAAATCAAATATTAAATTCACAAGAAAGGACTGTAGCGAACTCTCCTAGGGTTCTCCACTGTCTGGGTTGCAATGATTTCATTTGGAGATGAAGCCTGCTCCTGGTCTTTTTTATCTCTCCTCCTCATGGAAGGCACTTTCAGATAAAACCTTCTGGGTAGATCCAATCTATTGACCTCCAAGGCAATACTGTTGACAGGAAAAGTTCGTTCACCCAAGTCAACCTCTCCTCCGTGCTATGTCTTTGTAGGTAGGGAGAGGAATCCTCCCCAAGACTTGACAATAGTCACTGGGCTGATAATTTGAAGAAGCAAAGTGTAGACATCAACAACCTGTTGAGATGTTGTCAACGGGATAATCTACATGAACGTTAGCTTCCAGATGCTTGGCACTTTCTACATTTCTGGACAAGATTTCTGTGTCATGCATCCTGCTCAGAAAATGCGAAAGTTTATAAAGCTGCATTATTCCACTGGCCAGAACACCTCAAAAAACACACTTCTAATAAAGTAGAGCACCTTGTAGTGTAATTGGGTTTGGTGTCAGGTACTCCCAAAAGTAATGCTGGACATGTGATTTTTGCCTGCTTTTTTTTCATGTTAAAAAAAAAGTGGATAATACCTACTTAGAGGGTTGCTGCAAGTATGAAAATGATTAATATATGTAAAAATTGTCTCGTTTCGGGCCAGGGATTTAGCTCAGTGGCGCTGTGCCTGCCTCGCATGCACAAGGTCCTGAGTTTGATCCCTGGTATCAGAAAGACAAAAAAAATTCTACCTAGTTTTAGACTATGTCATTGAATAAGTATCAGTTCTCTTTTAATTATCTGCATGAAATTTGGTATTCCTAAAAAGGAAGAGTTAGACTCTGGTAAAACTCAGATGCAATTTCTCCCAACACTCATTAAGGATAAGACTTTGGAATCTACCCTAAGTCCAAAATAGAATTGATCCTGATGTCAAAGTAGATTTTTCTTCCAAAAGAGTTCAGTATTTATCAAACACCAAAACACTCTTTCCCCTCATTAACAGCAACTCTTTCCTCTTGATTTGCCGTCTTCTTTCCTCTATTTCTCTAGCTCTCAAATCAAAACAAGAAGACAAAGCGCAGCTAGGATTTGTTTTTGTTGTTTGTACTCCTCACTTATCTACGAATGCACACAAACCTGGAACATTGTGGAATTAAGACAGCTAGAAAATTGGGTAACAGTTAGTCACTCAAGTTTAGGATGCCAGTGACAAAAACTTTGGCAACATCTACAGAATGAGTTCCAAGAATGACAAACTTTACTCCAAAGTTTGGAGTAATGTAGCCAGTTGTCCCACTACTGGTTTCAAAATCGCCTTGAAGTGGAAGGAGGTGTTATATTTTCAGGCCCTAGTAATCTGCTCTTTCAGTATTTTGAATAAAAAGCTTAGCAAATAATCACTGGAAGTCCCATGTCTTCCTGATTTAATCCTAGATCACAGAACAAGTGAAACCACCCTGGCCTTCCTCCAGCCTCTGCAGAGCCTTTGCTTTTGTACTTCTCTTGCTCTTTACCCCCTTTCTGTCCTCCTCCTTCTTACAGGTTCTCCCCAAATCACAATTGGCTAGGTGTGTACTCAGCCTGTGATCTCCAGTAGCCCCCAAGGGAGCAAATACAAGTGACCATAATAAAACAATTTCGATCACAATTCAGTGCAAAAGCACTTTTTGGAAAATTCATTCTGTGGTCAGGATCCCGCTCTCTGCCTATTGTACCACTGAAAATAGTGAACTCAGAGTTCCTTCAAACAATCATAGTTCCTCATGCCTTACTCAAGTTTGAGCTGAGCATAGAAGTAAAAATAAAATCTTCCAGCACTACTCTCAGTCTGCATCTAAGTACGTCCCACCACACATGGAGATGTTCGCCATGTCTTCATTCTGAGTTTCTTCAGGAAGCTCCTCACTCACCTAGCTCTTCCATCGCCCCGCACCAAAGATGCTCGGGTCCCACGCGACCTGAAGAACTGCTTTAAAATGCAGTGAAGTGGACGACTACAAAGGAACTGAATGAGACTGTGCAAAGCAGCCTCTACAACCCTTTTTGGTTCCTGTATTTGCTTAGCACTTCCTCTTTTGAATTTTTTGGGGGAGGTATGTCACAGTTTTTAACATGAGACTGGTATAAAAAGGCAGGCCGTAAGATTTAAGTTGTGGTAGTGCATTGTTCGGGGTAATTAAAGATTCAAAATTAATTTTACAAAATTTGAGCACCTACCACATTCCAGAATTCATGTTGAATTCATGGAAACGCCAGATTTTCACTTGTGGTTTTTTCCAAGTATAGCTACCCTACTGTGATTAACCTTTTGCCTTCGTTTTTCCTGTAAAGTGGAGGCCCATGGAAGCATATTCCCCTTAAAGTTCCCATGATGGTTAACCAGCACCCAGTTCATTTTGCATCTTTGCTTATTCAGAAATTATGCTTACTTGCTTTCCTTTATAGAGTGTAAGTCCTTTAAAAGCAGGGTGGAAGTGGTTTTGCATTCAGATTCTTAGGTGCTGGCTTATTCGATGCCCTAAAATAAAAACATCTGTGGGCTGAAGAATAAAACTAGAAAATTTCAGGTTCTAGATGCTAAACTGCTAATGTGAGTTAAGGGCAATCCTTGCCTGTTTGATGGCCTTCTAGAACTTTCTGTAAAAAGTGACACTGAGGTTAATTAACCTATTTTACCACTAAGTTTATTCATCTTGAATGAAATAAAGCATTTGCAAAAGGCCTGTGTGAGCAGACAGTACTAAAGAACTGTAATAACGGCCCACGAAACACATTTTATCCTGTTTTTTGCAGTGGTGAAATAGGCTCAAGGAATAATTTGCTAAAATAACAGAATAGGCAACTTTGCTACCACTATAACCCATGCTTTAATTGAATGTGAAAGCCTGTGGTCTTTCCTCTAAAATGCATCGGAATTTTTTTTCAATCTTTCATTTTCTATTCAATTAAGTCGCCTATGACCTTTTTTTCTTTCAAGATTCCACCTCTGTATTACTTTAAGCAGCCATTGGATGTCAGTGCTGTTCCAAAAGTCTGCTCATTGCAAAGTTTGGAAAAATTCCCATTGACACTGTGCCAAATAATTTTTGCAAAAAATTACAAAAATAACATTAGCCCTGTGAAAGTGTAAAACGCTGTACAGTATACAAATCATTTGCCGAATCTGAAGCAGTAATTGAGACAAAATACTGGAAAGAAAAATGTACTTCAGCAATCGTTCAGTTTAATGATTAATGTGAAATTTAGAATTAGATCCCCGTATCTCGTTCCTATTCTCTTTCTTCTGGAGAATTCCAGATAGTTTATTCTGTAGATGTAAAGAACACTGTTTTCACGTCCTGTCTTGATTATAATGGATGAAAGAAAGGAACGGGAGAGGTCCAGAGCACGGCCCAGTGGAAAGAGACTAGCAGATGGAAACTCCCTCTGACACATCAGCAAGACAACTTAGTTGCACACGGTAGCGGGCAAAAAAGTGATTTGTGACAACGCTGCTCTCCAGACCGCGCTTCCTGCGCGGTAGAAACAAGTATAAACCACAGAAGATGACTCGGGGCGGGGCGCACTAGAGCGAGTCACGCTAACTGGTTTCACTCTCCCTCGGGCTCAGGCACCATAGCCAGCCGGGCAGCCGGCTCTCATGCCCGGCATCCAGCAGGAAAGCAATGTGTCAGCTCGTCCCATTCAGTTTCAGAACACGGAGCTGCGTGGTGGGCACCGTGCTCGGCCCGCAGACCCCACGGAAGCTGACTCAGGTCCTGAGCTTCAGGGTTCCTGGGAGAGGGCCAGACAGGGTGACAAGGCGAAGAAGGAGCACTCGCTCGCAGAAGGGGTGTCACCGATCTCTCCCAAGGTCAAAGAGAACTACCATGTGGCCACCCCGGGAAAGCGGCAAAGGTGCCAAGCAAAAACTACGAAAAAGTCGCATAACCCCCTCCAGGTCATCCAAGCGAGCAATTGGCTCAACTTTTGCTCCTGACGAACGCAGCGTTCGGCCTAACCCGGAAACACCGCCTCCCTGGAAAGTGTTTTCCACTCTCCCGACTGCAGGGATGAACTACGTTTCCCGTGGACAAAGTGGCCAAAACCTCCCGGCGTCCTCTCCGCCTCTGGTTTTAGTCGATAAATAGGACTTCACCTCCCAGGATGCTCTTGGCTAGGCTGCGCGTGCGCATGCGCCAAAAGGCGGGCCCTAGCGGCCCCCACAACCCCGCCTCCGTGCCGTCGCCGCCATTTTTCAGAGACTTTCATCCGGTAGCCCACGGAGCTTTTTTTCTTAAAGGAGAAGCGACAGCTCAAAAAAATTTCCCCCTTCTCCCCGCAAGTCGTGGCGGCGCTGGGGACATAAAGGCCAGAGGCAAGGAAGTGGGGTCGGGTCGGAGGCGGAAGAACGCCCAGGCTACTTCTGCGGCCTAAGGAAGCGTAGAAAGAGCCCCTGTGCTAATAGCGGCTCCTTAGGGAGGCAGGTGCGCGCGCATCCGGCCCAGGAGCTCACCAGGCGGGGAACGAGGTGCATCTCCTTCCCACCCCTCTCCCTCGCCAGCTCTGCCCCTCCCACTGCCCCAGTGCGTGCCGAACTCTAGAGGAGGGGAAAAGGTCACTTTGGGATTGTCGCGAGACGCGCGGCCGTTTAACGGTGAGAACGGGTGCGCGGGGAAGGAAACCTCGCGCGCTCCCTCGGAGCCGCTTCCTGATTGGCCGGAGGAGGTGTGGGGGCGGGCACCCACTACGTCGCCGCGCGTGAGGCCGTGAGGGGCGGGGCCGGGCGACCTCGCCTCCCCTCCCATTGGTCCGCCGGCCGTCTGCGGCGGGCGCGCGCCTCCGCCTGCGGCCGCGGGCCTTGAGTGGCAGGGGGCGGGGGGGCGCCCTCGGCGCGGGCGGAGGGGAGGGGGAGAGGCGCTCGGGCGACTGAGCCGGACGCTCCGGGAGGCGAGGGGGCGGGGGTGCAGCGTTGCGGCGGCCGCCGCCTCCGCCGCCACCCGGGACGAGGGGGTGGGGGACGGACAAGCCCTGATGCCGGGGGAGACGGAAGAGCCGAGCCCCCCGGAGCAGCAGGACCAGGAAGGGGGAGAGGCGGCCAAGGCGGGTCCGGAGGAGCCCCGGCAACCGCCTGCGCCGGCAGCGGCGGCTTCCGCGGGCACCGCGAGCAGCCGCGTGCTGCGGGGCGGCCGGGACAGGGACCGGGGCCGGGCCGCCGCCGCCGCGTCCCGCCGGAGGAAGGCCGAGTACCCCCGCCGGCGGAGGAGCAGCCCCAGCGCCAGCGCCAGCGCCAGGCCCGCCGACGGCGCCGGGCCGCAGCCTCCGGCCGCGAAGTTCCCGTCGCCAGCTCAGGGAAAGAAGAGTCCGCGACTCGTGTGAGTACCGCGCGTCCCCGGCCGCGCAGACCCCGCGCCCGCGCCCTCTCGGCTCCCGTAGCGTGCGCCTCACGTGACGCGCCCGCGCCGCTTCTGCGTCCCCGCGCCGGGGTCGCCCGGCGGAGGTCCGAGCCCTGGCGGCCGCACCCCTTTAGGCTCGCGCTGTCTTGGCCCTCGGGGCTCCCCGTAGCGACCCCGCTGGGTTAGAGTCAAGTTTGTCCGAATTGACGGGGCCAAGTCGGGCGTGCGGCTCTCGGTTCTGCTCCGCCTCTTTGCGTTTATTTTAACATAGGGACTTCGTTGTCCAAACTGGGCTCCTCTGAGAGGGGTCTGTTCCCGGCAGGTAGAGCGAGCCAGGAGCGTAAACCTTTTAAGTACCTGCTCGGGTGATGAGAGTACTTAGGCGCGCAGGTCTGTAAGTTGTGGGAGCTCATTACGTTCGCCCTTGAGTTTGTTACTGAAAACAGCATCTGTGGCGTTTCATTTGTAAGTGAAAAAAATTAGTGAAACCAGGAAAATTGAAAAGGGGGCGTCAGTTTTTATTCTCCAGTAGACTTAGTGTCGCGGTCTGGCCCACACTGGACCTGGTATTTAAAGTTTAACGGAGGTCTGTCCCAAAATTCCGACTTGTGCCCAGCAGCCTCTCAGAGGAGTAAAACCCAAAGCTGTCGTATGGTGGTATTACACTTGCTTTTGAAGCTTTAAATGTCGTTTAAGTTAACAGAGTTTACTATCTATGGTCTATAGTTCTGTGGACAGTAAATTCCCGTGCTTAACAATTTTTTCAGCTGCAATTAGAATTCTAACTGCTGTAGATGTATATTCACAGAATTTTAAAGCTAATTTTTCACAGATGTGACAAGATATCATTCATCTTATTTGGATATAAATTCCTCGTACAACTTTGTTAACAGATCTGTGCCTCGGTTTAAAGGGCATTTATATATGAGGGATAATCCCGGTGACGAGGATGTGGATTAAATGTACATCATGAGAACCACTTGACACAGTGCCTGGGTGCCTGGCATATAGTAAATGCTGAGTAAAACTTGCTGTTTTGAGTAATTGCAGCATGATAGAGGTATGAGAGGTTTGGGTTTTTCATGTGGATTCTGCAAAGTAGGATTAATCATACATAATGAGCCTAATACTTAAAAGTATTTTTTTTTCTCCCATGGTACTGAGAATTGAACCAAGGGCCTTTGTACTGAACTATAATCTCCCTTTTTATATATTGGTTTATTTATTTTTTTATTTAGACAGTATCACAAAGTTGCTAAATTGTTGGGGCTGGGCTCTACTTTGAGGGTCTCCTGCCTCAGCCTCCTAGAGTGCTGTGATTTCCACCTGTACCACCCACAGTGGAGTGTTTTTTGTTTTTATTTGTTTATTTGTTTGCTGTACTGGGGCTTGAACTCCGGGCCTAGAGCATATCAAATAGTTTTAAAATACATTTTCATTGATACCTACCAGTTAAGAGTTAACTATATCTGTATCTCCAGACGATTATATCTGAAGTAGTAGCTTTACCTCCCTTCATGATTTATTTTTTCCCTAACTTGGCAAAAGTACTTATGAGTCACTTTACTGCCACAATCTTAAGTGTTAAAAAACAGTTGGGCTTGGGGATTTAGCTCAGTGGTTCCGTCACTTGCCTTGCAAGCACAAGGACCTGAGTTCAATCCCCGGTACCAAAAAAACCCCCAAAAAAACAGTTGGGCTTGAATGAAGGTGATTTAATTACATTCCTTGATTTTTTTTTTTTTCCTCTAAGGTTTTTCTTGTGGAAAGGAAAAAATAGTCTTGTCAGGTGCTTCTCTCTCATCCAGTATTGTAAAAGATAACAGCAGCAATGGTTTCCTTTTCCCTTCACCACCACTTATCTCTAGATGGTGTACTTTAAATTACATAATGTGATAAGAATGCTGAAGTAAGTTTTCATCATAATAAGATTGGCCAGGAAGTCAGCACAGCCCCGAGCCTGCTGGCACTGCCTCTGGTCCGCCCTGTCCTGTGCTGAGCAGGCCGCAGGCAGATGAGGGACTTGCCCCGTCTCCAGGGGCCTTAGAGTAAGAGGGAAAGCTGCCTTGATGGGTAGAGGTTTGTTGGATAGGTGTGCATGGTTTATAGATTTTTCAGTGACAGAACAGATTTTTAAACTGAATTTATAATTTAGAAATAGGACATTTTGAGAAGTGTAGAGTAACAGCTTTACTGAACCCTGATGTCCATCTATTTTCCAAATAACATTGTGGCAAGTTTTTTAATAGGAGATAAGAAATTTAATCTGTATTATTTGTTCCATTCAGATCCTTTTTCCATATCCCAGCCTTTTCCCTACAAAGTCCTAAGTATTGAGCTATTTAACATAAGTTTCTGTTGATTAAAGAGATGGCAAAGTGTACACTAATTTAAAAGGTCAGTAAATACATAGATTTCGATGGTTTTTGAAACCTTTGTTCCTATTAGAAGGGAAATTATATAGTGGGGGGAAAAAACCAAACAAACTTGATGTCAGTTTCAAGTCCCAGTCTTGTTATTGCTCCTTAGTGACCTTGGGCAAGGTGCTTAACCTCTCCAGATCTGCTTCAGCTATAATTGATTTTTGATGAACTTAAACAAGCTTTACAGTTGGAGGATAATTAGGTTACTGCTTCATAAATTTAAGTTTATAGCAACTGTTTTATTCACATTGAAATGTTAAGGGAGTTAACCAGAAGAGTAGGAAGTATTTATGAATGAAGGGGAATAAAAAGTTTTTAGTGAATTTGCCTGAATGGGAAATAGGAGGGAAAGATAAACCAAATTTGAACAGTTTATGTATTCACACTGTTGAGGAATTAGGCTGATCCCTTGCTTTATTTTTGCCAATAAATGACATAGTTTAGATTCTTGGGATAGGTATAGTATAATTTATAATAAAATTGTAATGCCATGCTTTCTTAAAAAATGAAATAATTTCTATGCTTTCTAAAGAGAACAGATAATATATTATGCTGTAATTTTATTTGCTTAGGTATTCTTGTATAACAAATAGATCTTGAGTTGTATTAGTTTTACATTTGAAAAAAGAAAAATCTTTGTACTGCTGAAATACAACATGGCATTTTTATAATAAAGATCCAGTGTGTATTTTACTCACTTTTTTATTTTTTAGTTTGTGGTATCAGGGATCGAACTCAGGACCTCACGCTTGCCAGGCAGGTGTGGTGCCACTGAGCTTCATCCTCGGCCCCAGTTACTCTTGAATTTGAGTAATGGTTACAGGAGGATTTCACTGTCCTGTAGCCAGTGTGTGATAGAAATTCCCCAAGTTAAAGACATGGGAATACTTTTTTCTTTACTCTCTTAAGTTTGTAACATTTTAAGCATTTTACTATTGCTGTCTATGTGTAAAGTGCATGTTATATTTATTTGTGAGTGTAATCCCTTTTTAGGAATAGATTTTGAGTTTAGCAAACATAGTTATAAGGTCAGTTAAAGCTCCTTAAATTTTTATTATGAAAATGTGTATGGGATATACCAAATTAAAGAAAATCATGTAATGAAACCCCCATATTTGTCACCTAGATCAGTAGTTACTGAGATAGTTGCGGTGCTGCCACCTCCCTCCCTTCTGGCAGGTGTGTTTAAGAGCATGTCCCGGGCATGTGATTTCATCCCAGTAAGGATATTCATTTCCTTAATAGAACAAAATTAATATTTTCTTTATGGTGCTATCTTTATAATTTAAAACAGTTGTTTTGAATATAGTATTCTAGCTATTTGCTATCAGTTGTGGCAGCCACATATGACTATTTAGATTTACATTAGTTAAAATTAAAAATTCAGCTCCTCAGTTGCAGTAGCAATTTCAAGTATGACTAACTTAGTGGACAGGGCCGATACGGAGCATTTTCTCCACTGCTAAGAGTAAGACTTCACTGTTGGACAGTGCTGCTGCTGTAGATGCTTTCTACATTGCTCTAGAAGTGAACCTGGAAGAGTTAAAACCTTGCATTTTAAGAAAATGTGCGAGATTGCTCATTTAATGTTTGATTCTTCTTTCTTTCAGATGCGTAGAAAAAATAACAACTGATAAAGGTAAGACTTGGTCCTTCTTACCTCTCTGTCATGTACGTTCCACTGAGTGTGTGATGGTCTAGAGGAACATAGTGTGAGCTTCCACCTAGTCGGGGTAGTTCCCTAGTAAGAGGGACTTTCACAGGGAACAGTGTGGGCCCACAGCAGACCTTGCCTCGAAACTGAACGAGAGCAGATCATAAGTTGGAGCCCAACCTGGAGAATTGGATGACTTAGTGAGATCCTGTCTCAAACTGAAAAAACAGAGGATGAGGTTGTAGCTCTGGATGAAGGCCCTCGGTTCAACCCCCAGTACCATAAAATAAGAAAAATAAAAAGGACTTATAAAACATTAATGGAGTTGATAAAGCCTAGGCATGGTTTAAAAAATAGGGAAATCATAATTTGATGAAAATTTAACCCAATTTTTAAAGCATTTGATCTTTTTAAAAATGAAATAATGAGAGGAATGATGTGCAGTATACATTATAAAGTACAGGCAAAATCTTGACACTGGTGAAGACTCAAATTATCATTGCAATTTGAAGAATGCAGAAAGAAAAGTGTTCTAAGATTTCAACCTGGTAAATAATTTAATGAAGTCATCAGGTCATTTCCATTTAGAGTTCTAGTAAACAAAGTGTATGTACTGAAGTAGTCTTTTGCTTATCAGGATGATGAAGTGAAGCCAGTGTTCAGTTTTTTAGTTTTTCATAGTTTTTAAAAGATTTCATTCTGGCTTTACAGATTGGATTATTAAAAGTGCCTCTGTCCTGTGGAACCAGTTGCTCATTCATTACATTTTTCTTTTCTAGTTCTTGGCAGTGTTTTTTGGTGCTAAGACACATGTTTCTTAAAATTGGAATAAATGTCCTCGTGATGGTACGTCACTCACTGTGTATGCTCTTAACCTGGTCTTCACATGGCAGTCTCCAACTCCTAGAGTCCACTTAGTAGCTGAGAGTTGACTAGTTAGCATTTAAGGTAGCCTGCTCCCCTTAAAATGCAGTGTGTGTGTGCATTTCCTGTGTGTACAGTTTCAGAAGAGAGGATTTATGTGTTCTTTATAAAGAATGATTTGAGACAATATGAGGAAAGTTTAAAACTTGGATATTAACGCCATTTGGAAGAGGGACAGTGTGATTAGGAGCCAGTAACTTACTTTGGTGGCCATTTGCAAATAATGTAGCACTCAGGTTCTTCGCTGAAGTTTAGAATTTGAGGCTACTATCCCATTTTGTACCAGGTAGAAGTATTTGATAACAAGTGGGGTGTTGCATGGTTATTTTGTCTAGCAATATATTTTTATTTTGACAGAAGTAACAAATTTTATTTTTGTTGCTGTTATTACTTGGAAAATAGATATTATGTCTATGGAGACTGGAAAGTTTCATATTTCTTACTCTGAGATTACTTAGTAGATTTTTTGAGGAGAAGAAAATGCAAAAACAGTTAAACAAGTTACCAGACCAGTTCTGATTAAGACAAAAAACAACTTCAGAGTTAAAATTATTTTATGTGTCTAATGAGACTGTCTTAAATTCACTGTGGTTGGCTTGAAGAAAACCTTGAATTTGAATATGGTAGAAATGTTCAGCCCCGTTGTGAGCTGTGTGTAGTGGTGCACACTTGTAATGCCAGCCTGCTAACGCAGGAAGATTGACAATAATTCAAGGCCAACCTGGACAGCTTAGCAATTCAGGGTTACCCTGTCTCAAGGCAGGTGGGGGGATTCCAAACCCTTTTTGGAAGTCAAAGTTGGCATGCTGTGTAGTTGTGCAGCTGGGGAAAGAGTAAAACTTCATTCTGGGTAATTCAGTCTGCACATCTGTTCCTCCTTTAATCCACTGATTGGATGCTCGAGGTCTGGACACTCAGTACTCCCATCTCCATGACTTCAGTTTACCTACAAGATTACCTATTCACAACTCTGAACTTTGGTGTGGAAGAAGTGTATCTAACATGTGCACACAAAGTCAGCAAATAAAGAGCTGAAGGCTCTAGTGCTCACTTTTCCCCGAATTGTTTCTTTGTCATAACTCACCTCAATTCTTTGTTTTTCTTCTCATTTAACTTCTTAAAAAGTTATTCTTTAACTCTGAGATAGCTTTCATTTTCAGTCTGCTGAATTTTGACTGAAATTAACTCCTTATTTCAAAGGTTGAGGCTTTTTCAAAACTTTGATAGCTTATTTTCTAGAGGTATTATTAATACTGAAAACATGTTTTCAGGATTGTCTTTAGTCTTTCTTACTGCAAACAACCAGAAATTATGTACTCCCTAGAGTTGAATCTTAGACATGTTTTAACTGTAAACAATATTGTGCATAATGTTGTTTATCATCTTTAAGTTGCAGAGTGTTCCAGTTTAAAATGAATGGTTAAGAAACATTAATATTAGTTCCTGTTATATTTATTTAACCCTGATGGGTGTATGTAAAACAAATAGAAAGTTGCTTGGCTGAAATAGTGTGTTAAATTATTGTGTTAAATAGTGTGTTAAATTATTCAAGAATTGCTGAGCTCCCACCCATGTCTGGCACCATTCTAGCCACTGGGTTGTACTCATAGTTACTTATGTGGTAAGAAAGCAGAACACTAATAAAATGTTTCATGTTGAAATGGGAGAGGCTGGATTTAGATAAGATAGATTTAGGTAAGATGCAGGACCTCTTCCAGGAGGTAACACTTGCACACAGACCTAAATATGCAGTTCAGTATTTGGACGTGGATATTCCACACATTAGCAGCAAAAAGGAAAAGCACGTTCCCACTGTCAGAGGATCACCTTCCTCTTGTAGCCATTCCCAGAATATCAGCAGAAATCTTGAGGGATGAAGGCTTAGTTCACTTTGTTTTCATTCTGTTGCTTTGTTTTGAGCCTTACTGTCCTTTGGATAGTAAGGTAAAGGATGGTTTATACATATAATTTATTAATATTCCTTGCATTACTTTTAATATTTTCCACTTTCTGACTTCCAGCTAGATATAGCACCAAACCTGTCTTTTTTCTCTTGTTTGTTAGACCCTTTTGTTGGACCCTCGAGGTAGATAAAACATTCCTGCTGGGCTCCTGTGCATGCCTGCAGTCCCAGCTACTCAGGAGGCTGAGGCAGGAGGATAGTAGGTTCAAGGTCAGCCCTGGCTACTCCACAAGACCCTGTCAAAAAGGTCTGAGGTTGGAGTTCACTGGTAGAGCTCTTGCCCAGTGAGCACAGGGAGGCCCTGGGTTCAGTCCCCAGTGCCACAAAAACAGAAGAACCCAGCTGCTCTACTTAACTCACTTGGTTTGTTTATGTCATGAAAAGTTGCTGGATTCTGGGGTGGCTAACAAAGCTAAGATCTTTTAAAACAGATAAAACTAAAAAATACTAATTTTAATGTTTACCAAAGTCTGTTTCACAGAGTTAAATATGGAGAGTGCTTGAGCTGTCGGTGATAGGATAGTTACTCAGGGACTCTTTGGGAAGTCCTGAAATTGATTTTGAAAGGTATGCAGTGTCAATATCAAAATACACAGCAGTTACGTAACTTCCCTTCATGTAAGATCCCCCTTTAAGTATATCTCATAAAGCTTTAATTTATGTAAAGCATATTTTGGAGTAATTGATGCTTGGGAATTTTACAGGATTAGACTTTGAAGTCACTTTTCAGCATGGCTTCACTGTCGCAGTTACTCTTGTTAATACAGAGTGTGATGTTGGCAGAGCTTACGTTAGTCATCAGATGAGGTCCTGACATCTGGGAACTTGCTCAAGTTGTTTGGAGCTTAACTATTGCCATTGGCATTATCTAGTTTATTGTAATCACTGTAATGTCCAGAAGTATTGCTAAACTATTAGCTTGTTTTGTTTTTTTTCTCCTCTGCTCTGGATCACATCCTTGGTTTTTGCCTTCTGTTGATGTAGTCTTTATTGATTATGCCTCTGCTCCAGTTTTTAAAAAATTGGAATTAGTTTATTTTTAACAATTTTCACAAGTGTAATTTCAGTGAAGTATTCCATCTTTACGGTGCTGGAGTACATTACTTCTTACTCTTCCAGGTCAGTCTCTGGTTTCATATTCCAGTATCCTTAAACCATATTTGTATTATTCCTAAACCTGTAGGAGAGGGATTCCAATTTAATCTCCATTCTTTGAGAAAAATCTAACATTGGCAATTTTACCATCAAGTTTCTGTACAAAGAAAGATGCAACAGTATACTCGACATTGGCATTACAATTCTTTTTGAAAGATTTTGAATCTCTTTGGTAATAACCTGGTTTTCCTAGTTGCAGAGGTAAATCCCATAGGTGTTGAATATGAAAAGAGCCATGGGCCAGGCATAGTGCCCAGCACACTTGAGAGGCTGAGGCTGAGGCAGCAGGATCTCAGCTCTTAGGCCAACCTGGACTACACTGTAAGGCCTGTCTCAAAACACCAAGAGGGATGCAAAAGCTGTGAGAGGACGGCTCTCGGTGAGAAAGGCAGATAGAAAGAAGCAAGCCCAGTCCATCCCTCAGAGGTGGTGTTAGTTTAGCTGAGACATTCTTTGCAAATTAAGTGATGTTCTTTCTTCTAAAGTCAGAGTAAACATTTTTTAAAAGCTTTTTGGTTTCTCTTACTACTTACTATAGAAGTATTGATGTTTCAAAGTAGATTTTGCAAATTTATGAAAAACAGTGGAGCTAATGAGTAATCTAGATTTCAGTAACTCAAATTTTGACTCTTAGAGTAGAACTAAGGTCTCAGAGTTGTGATAGAAGTTTAATTTTGGGTGTGTGGGGGGGGTGTATGTGTTTGTGGGTGTACTGGGTGTACTTGCATTGCTGGGAAGTGAATCGAGATCTTTCACACTGAGTCATATCTCCCCTTACCCTTTTTTTTAAACAGGGACTCTTAGTCACTAGATTACCCTGAAAGGCCTTGAACTCAGACCCTCTTGCCTCAGCCGTAGTCCTGCCAGAGTGCTGGTAACAGGGAATGGATTTGTCTCAGTATGAGAATGATCTTGGACATCTTAGTACTTTTTTGGGAATTGC